GATTGGTATCGCAGTCAATCGGAAAGGTTCATCATATTATTACTCTTAATATTTATAAACTTTATTTTTCATTAAATATTTTCAGTATGATAGCTGCTCTTGATACTTCAATAAATGTTAGTGATAAATTATATCCAGTATGTTCATATATGAGTGAAGAAGTTATTGGTATTCATGCTTTATCAAATACAACATTACGTGAATTAGGTCTTACTAGTGGTGCAGCTGTTATCCGGTATATAAAAGAAAAATCTTTTATTTGTTCATTTTTGATCTGATAGAAACTATTGCCGATAAATTAGAACCATAGTCTTCTGTTATTTTCAAATATACCCAGCTAGAAAAATCCAGTGACTCGGATTTTGTCGGAGCCCGATAGAATCCATTCGGATTTTTTACCGGAATCTGGGTCACTGGATTCCCGTTGACTTCCGATAGAATCCGATGGCTTGGCTTCGTCCTGGGTAGGCTTAATCTTTGGAAAAGTCAAAAAAAAAACCAAGTTTGAACGAAATATATATTTTCACTATTGTGATTTGAAACTAAAATTTACATAAATTTTTAAATCTATATTAGAAAAGAACTCAAAAATGAACAAATATTTGATCCAAACATTTTTCACTTGTTATGTCTGATTCTATTTTAGTTATAATCATCGATCAATCACTGATGATGATTTAAAAAAGATTAACGATCGTATTGATGAGAAAATTGCTCGTCGTCATCGTCAACAACAACAACAACAGCAAACAACAGAATCTTCTTCAGTTCCTTCTCCTACGATGACATTTAACCCTCCTCCTCCTCCTCCTCCTTCTATTCCTACTACAACGACAACATCATTTAATAATGATGAATATTCAATATTTCGTGATCATTATGCATCTCGTTCTACTACAACTGTTTGTTTATTTATCATTTTATTGTATTTTTTTTTTGAAAAAAATTTCATTTTTTGTTTTTTTTTATTAGTCTCAACAACAACAACCAAGAACCTTAGCTGAAGCACTTGGTATTAATATTTCATTTGATCCTCAACCTATATTAAAACAATCACCTCAAAATGATTTGAGTAATTTTAAAGTAATATATTAAATAAATGAAAAAGAAAAAAAGAAAACATTAATTTTAAATAATTTCTTTTTTTGTTTTTTTCAGTTTCCTGAAGCAACAAAAGGTCAAGATCTTCAACAAAATGAATCTTCTGATGATTTTCAATATAAACATAATTCGAAAGTAACTTTTTTTTTTTGTTTTTCTTCTATTAAAATTATCAATGAATATAAATAGTTTTGCAATCGACATACAATCGCTTATGATCTAACACAAAATACTTCAACAATTACAAATCAAACAGAAGAATTACCAGATAGTTTTTTTGAATTAACACCCGATGATCTTCGATCAATTTTAAATACTTTAAGACAACAAAGGTAAAGAGATTTTTCTTTTTTTTTTAAATTACGAAATTTTTTCACATTAGTGCTGAAGATAATCCATTAGAAACTCGTACAAATCGTGAAAGAATTCAATCATCACGTGCAAATAATTATCAATATATTGCAATACGATTAGTTATTAATTCAAATAATATTCTTCAAGGTTTATTTTATCCAGAAGAATCTTTATCAAATCTTTTTGAATTTGCACGTACAAATCTTATTAGTTCTCAAATAGAAAAATCTGATTTTTATTTATATACATCACCACCACGTATTATTTTATCGGATTTAAAAAAATCATTATCTTCTTATGATTTAGCACCAGCTTCATATGTTTATATTGGTCATCGAACAATTTCACCATTAGTTATTCAACTTTCATCAAATATTTTAATAGGAAATATTAATGAAGCTAATCAAATTGTTAAAAAATATGTATTTAATCATTCAACAACAATAAATGAAGAAGAAAATCATGATGAAATATTAACTACAGATACTAATATTATCAATCGACCATCAAAAAGAAATCCATCTACACAAAATATTGATGATAAACATTTACGAGATAAACTTCGTAAATTTTTACCTGGAAAAAAATAAACATTTTGTTTTCTTTTTATATTTATTTTATTCTCGAATTTAAAAAACATATAATAAATGAACTATCAAGTTAAATATTTCAATTTATATAATAACTATAATATAGAGACAACGGCACATAGTCAATTCTATTTATTTCGTATTATTCTAAATTGTATACAGTGATTTAAATGATAATTATATTAGTTAGAATAAATCTAGTTTTATATACTTGAATATGATCTTTTCAAGTGATCGAAACATTGTAAAATGAAATTTAAGACTATATTATCTACAGTGACGCAGCCAGGGGGATTATGGGGATCGTTCCCCTCCGAAAGACCGAAATGCCTGGAGGGGGGTACAGGCCAATTCGTTTTTGCTAGTCCAAAAATGTCTTTTTTCTATTGCGGTCCCCCCCCCCCCAAAAAAAAAATTTCTGGCTGCGTCACTGATTATCTAGATAAACATTTGAATAAAAAAAAAAAGACTAATCCAGTAGGATGTAGAAGAGTAAAGAAGTATGTCACGTCTTGACAGAATGTTAGAAGACAACAAAGCACTTTCGACTTGTCATTTAAAAAAAACAGATGTTATTGGGATAGAAGCATTGCACAAAGGTCAAAATGTAAAACATCACTGACAATGTGTAAACAGAAAATAAGATTTGTTGATTGATATCAGAGAAACATGAAAACAGTGTAAATAACTTTAACTATGATTGTAATTAAGTAAGTTAAAATACATAATAATGACGTATAGTGAATGTATGTTTCATTCATATTTTCATCTTACATCGTGTTTACTAATGACAATCAAAGTTGCAATGCTCGAATAGACTAGTTCATTATATGGGTGTTTGGAAACTCATTGACCAAAAAGAAAATTGTTTTTTGTTGTTGATGTTTCCGATTCAATACACAATAAAGTCTTTTTTTTTGTTGTCGAGCTATAAAAAAACAGTATGTCGGATTTATCTTCGATTTTATTTCAATTATTGAGATGTATTTCTCTTGCTTTATAAAATATATTTTTAACAGTTTTGAAAAATCTCGAATGATATCAGATATTTCTTTCAAATGATTTTATTAGAGTTTTCGTGGGTGTCAGAGACATGAGATCAATGGGTCTATTCTGTAGGAGTATTTTGAAGTATTTATATAAGTTACAATTAGTATTACTCTATTCGTCCTACAACTTCTTGATGATTGATATATGTCATTCTTATCTTATTTTAGATCGTATTAAAAGAAACCATAAATATAATATTTTCAAAAAAAGCGAACTTTATTTAGCTGTACATTTTCACAAACAAATATGTTTTATATATAAAGAAAAAAAAAAGATGCATAAACATTAATTGCAATTATATTGTCTTTTATAATTAATAAAGAACGCGTGATTTAGTATAACTTTGATGTTGTCTTGGATGAGCATTAGGATGTCGTCCAGTACAAACATTCGATGGTCGACAACGACAAATTGGACAACTATTTTTATCAAGAAGATGACCACATGGACAATACATTGAACATGTTGGTGGACATCGTGTATGAATACTTCGTTTATATGGACGAGCTTCGCTACCAATTGGCATTAAACAAAGACAAAGTCCGATCACAATAAAAGCAAAGAATAAAAATACTTTGATATGCATGTTATGTATAATAGTAGGCAGAATGTATAGAAAAGATTTGTTCTATATTCTACTTAAATACAGCGAATATTTATATATCTTAATAGATAGAAAAGAAAGAATTCTAGTAACGCAATACAAATGGTTCCAGTCTTTTCTGCTTTCTTCTTAGTTTATTTACGTCAATCGTTCTTCTTTTTTTTTTTTTTTTTTATCTTCATTGTTCCTGTATAATTCATCTTTTCTTCCAGTGTATGTACAACTGCTAGATTATGAAAATAGATGTCACTCAATAACAGTATCCGAATTATAAATGTTCAATAAAATAAAAATAAAAATTAAACATAATTAAGAAAGATACATTTCAAAAATATTATTAATTTTCATAAGAAAAATCAAACTATCTATTAGAGGTTATCAATTTCAATAGGATTGATTGAAATATTAATAGTAGTGAGTCATTCAATGAACATTTTTATTTGCAATAATGTTTTGCACAAGTCGATCTCTAAGTTCTGTTCGATTAATCTCTAATACTTTAATTCGATGTCTTCCTCGTATTGCTTCATCTCATGAACATCCAACAATCGAAAAAAGTTCAGATTATGCAGTAATTAATTCATCTCAACAATCACAAACAATAGTATTCAATGATTATAATATTGTTAAATCGACTACACCTACAGTTCGTTCAAGACCCATTCCTAAATCTGTACCAAAATTAATTGATATACAAACCGGTTTAAATCATTTTATGAATGAATGTGACGAACGAATGTTATTGATGACAGTTGAAAATAAATATAAATTATTTGATTGTAATAATGTAGCAACTTTTATTCAACGTCTTCATGAATTAAATATAAAACGTGATTCAAATGAAAAACATCAACAACGACTTTATGATTTTGTTGATTATTTAAGTGAGTACAAAAAAAAAATGGAGTTCCGAAATTTCGCCAATTGGCGAAAGTACAGTGAGCTTTCAGCAATTTCATTGTAAACTAGATGTACACTAAAAAATCTTTTTCACCTACATCGATGAGTTGTAAACTATGATATATGGGGTTGGCCAGTCTGGCCGGATGTCCCAATCTCGTTTTTAATCAATCCGTCTCTATAATATGTCAGAAATATCTGATTTTTTTGTTAGTTATAGTACTCATATAATGCTGATGATCCGCCAAAGAGAAACAATTTATCTCTTGTTTGAAAATGAAATCAATAAAGCATCTTTCAAAGCCTTTTGATATTTACCAACAGATAATTCTAAAGACACTTAATGATTGTGATTTGAACCAAGACATAAATTTCCTAGCCTTCGCAGATCATTAGCATTATGCAAGTACTATTACTATTATGATATATTATAAAAACTGAATGATGGAAAAATGCATAGGGACATCCGACCAGACTGGCCAACTCCATATATATTCTAATAACATTAACTTCAGCGCTGACATATATCCTTTATTAATATTGTTCCGTGACCACTGAGATTGTCCACCTTACTTTCGCCAATTGGCGAAAGTCCACTGTACTTTCGCCAATATACCCTCAAGCAGGCCCCGCGCGAGCGGGGGTTTAGGGGGTGTACAACCCCCCGAAAATAAAAATTTTTCAGTTTTATCCGGCCACAAGAGCAGATTTTGTCCACATTTTATGATTTTTCTGCAAGATTTTTCTAAAAATACTCTCGTACACCCCCCAATCTGCCAAACACCCCCTAATATTTGATCCTTCGCGCGGGCCCTGCCCTCAAGACTTTCGCCATTGGCGAATGTCTTATTGGCGAACATCCCGCCATCCAAAAAAATTACTTCTCTAAACAAAACTTCAAATGACAAAAATATCATTGAACATATATTAAGATTTTCTATATATTTTTTTAAGTATTAAAACATGGACAACAATTCGATTTTGATCATGTTTTAAAAATATATTTTCAATTAGTATCATTAAATGGTAATTCTAAATTACATTTACATTCTGGTAATTATGCATTAAAAGGTATTATTCAATTATTAAAACATTATGTTAATAAATATCATTTACAAGATACTGGTCGTATATTAATAGCACTTGAAAAAGATCTTGGTATTAATATACATGAAGATGAACGAATTCGACCATTATTTGATGCACTTTTACTTTTAACAAAATTTCGTCAAAATGAACTTGATCGTTTAGATGCTCAATCATTAGCTGAATTAGCTTATGTATTTGCATTAGAACTTGATCATGTATATTTTACAAATATTTTAAATGAATATATTCATGATGAATTACATCATAATAAATATTCTACTATGCTTATATTTCGTGCATTAGATCGTCGTAGTTATAAACATAATCGAACATTAGATATTTGTCTTCATTTTGTAAATGAAAATAAAGAAATGTTTATTGAAGAAATTGATGAAATTAAACATTATTTAAAAAAACTTGAATATGAAATGATTGAAGATTGAATTTGTTGTTTTCTAGTTTTAGATAAATTAATCAAATAAAATTCTACACATATTTTAATGAATACTGTGATATATATATATAGATGATTTATTGATTGTACAATTATTTATTTATGAATAAATATAAGAACAAAAAGAACTATAACTTTCAGTATTGCCGATTTCAACTTGTTAACCTTGGATCAATCAACTAATATCAAAATTGAAATAATTCATCATACTAAATTCTCTAATGATGTGTTTTAAAGTTCTCGAAAATCTAGATATTGTGATTTTTGAATTGCATTGATATTAAAAATAAACATTATCATTACACTGAGTGTGTGAATTATCGTATTCTTAAATTAAAACTATTTTAGTTTTAGTCAATGGAAAATATATATGTACGCAAAACAGGACATACCCACCTTTCATTTGACTTTGATTTTTGATACAAGTGGGTAAGTTCTTTTAGCATAGACATATGTAAAAATGTTGGCTCTTTCAGATGCTACTTAATTAAAATTAATTAGTGAATATCTCTCCAACCGTATGAAAGAAAAATCTAAAAATTTCAGGATAGACTCTAGGACTTGAGTCACATCTATGGTAAAATTTTCAACAAGATCGGACTCCAAAAATTTTCCTCATAAAAACCGGCCCTCTACAGATCCTATCAAGTTTCGAAAAGAAAAATTTTGTCTTATTATCATCTCAAGATTCTGAGAAAGAATTCGTACCATTTTAAATTTATTTTGAACTTTTCATTCAATTATAAGAACATTTTTTCGTTTGCATATTCGTACTTAGTTACGTCGCTAACGCTAGTTTTGTAGTAATAACTCCTTTCAACAAAAGCCTCTAGGGCTGGTTTTTTCAGAGTATCTAAAGTAACTTACCTTACATATACTATATAAAAATTAGCTTTTGGGAAGTTCATTATCCCAAGATATACGCGTTGCAATTTTTCGAAGTTACGTCGCTAACAAATGATTTTGCCTATATATTTCCTTTCATCTTGTAATAAAAATATGTATTCTTATTAATAAATCAATCATTCGTGATTGTCCTGGTACTCTACAAAAGATTCAACATGACAAGATTAATTTTTCTTTCGGCTGAAACTGTCATCTTTTATTTTCCAGCTGTTTTTTAAAATAAAACTGTTTGCATGTTCAATATTAATAATAAATAATTGACATTGCCGGTATACAGATAGATATTTATAGTTCTCGTTTTTTTTTTGATTAAAACCATATTTCCCCTCATTTTTGTTGACTACAAGGACAAATTTTATAATTTTTTTTTTCTTCATATCAGTCAAAAAAATTCATATAAGAACATTTTTTTTAAACATAACATATGAGTGTATTTGCACAAGTCTTTTTTTCTTAATATGACCTACTTTTTGGGAAGCCAATGTGTCAATTGTTATTAAAAAAAGAACGCAATAGTAAATGGATAAACAACTTGAATAAGAGTATTAAGCATTTGTAATTTCCGTACGAATGAATCCAAATGACCTAAAGACAAAAATAAATAACATGTCATCAATATCAAGAATCTATATAAAGAAAAAGAATGTCTGTTAATCTATGACTGATATTACTATATGAGATCATTAACCATTTGGTTTCATTTAAGTACATTTACTTCTTTTGACATGAAGAATATGAACAACATTAATACTTTGATTCTTGAAAAACTTGTTTTCTCTTAAGTAAATCTCTTATTCATAAACACATATTCTATCTCGACATAGGAAAATTTTTTTTGTTTCTGTACGCCCACATAACATTCTATTGATGTAATCATCAAAAACAAATCCAAGAGAATTTCTATTCAAAACAAAGATATTAGAAAATGTCCTTGAGTACGTACAAAAAAAACATAATGATGTTATATTGCTCATCTCGAAGCAAATACTATGTAATACAAAAATAATTGAATCATCTTAAAAAGAAAATAATAACTCTAGAGAAATAGAATTATTGTTTAATATTCTATTGATAATATGAACAAGTTATTTTTCAGAAAAAAAGCGAAATAAAATTTATTTATTAACAAAAATATTCGTTTTTTTTTTCTTTTGTTTTTTGTTTACTTAATAAAAAAAAAGAATTATTAAATATCAATCGATTATTTGTGAAATATATAAAATACAACAATAAAAAGCAAAAAAAAAACAAAAGAAAGAAATTATACAAGTGTTCTAGTTCTAGATGTAACATTCAAAGATAGTTGATTAATGGATGATTTTTGACGATATTTTTTAAATAAACTTGCTGCACATGCAAGAGCACCACCTTGTAAAAAACGAATAAGTTTATCACCAGCTAATGCACCTAGTGCATATATATTTTCAAAATCTACACATTCATATGTATATGGATTTATATTAATTCCATGATTTTTTTTTTTCGATATTAATGATCGAAGAAAAGGAAGTTTTATTTCAGTACCAGTAAGTCGTACAACAAATGAGATATTATAATCTTTAATAATTTGTGTTCGAAGATTACGTATATGTACTGTACCATCTTCAGTTATTGAAATAACTTCACTTTGTGTACAACATTGATAAAACCATTCTGATGACTAAAATTTAAAAAAAAATATCAAATCATTCATTTTTCTAGAATAATATGATTAAATTTTTGTTTTTTTCAACCTACCATAGATGTTATTGTTGATTGTTTAATTAATTCTTTAATACGTTCAAATTCTGGATAGATATTAGCTGATAATTGATTAAGTACAAGTTCATGATCATCAATAGTACGACGAAATACATGTAAAACAGGTATTGAATATTGTTGACATAAAAGTATAACATCTATAGCTGTTAAACCACATCCAATAACAAGTAATGGTTTACTATTTTTTGTTAATTGTTTTTTATTTATAATAAGTTCTTCAATATGATGTAAATTTGTATATGTAAATGATTGACTTGCTTGTTCACCAATAATACCTAATGGTTTTGTTATTTCATGTGAAATACCTGTTGCTAAAACAACATATTTTGCATGTATAATAAATGAATCTTTTGTTTGTTCATTATAACCACGTATTTCCCATAATGCTTCTGGTGTACGAATTTCTTCTATTAAATCATCATAATATGGGGCATCAATACAAACACGTTCAATAGATGTTATTTCATAACCATTACGAAAAAAATTTGTTAAACGATTTCTTTTTACATAATGAATATAATATGAACGAATTTCGTCATAAGTTGCTCGTCTTGAATTATTATCATTTGTTGTTATTTGTTCATTATTTGTTAATAAACGACATTGATACATTCGACGATGTTGTCGAAATGTAGCCATAGGATAATTAGGTAATTCCATCCAATTAGCCATACTTATTGTTTGTAAATGTTTTGATGTTAAACGATTCCAAATTCCACCTATTCCACCTCGTCCAAGACATATATGATCAATACTTAAGGATGGATCATGACGCCATTTTATTTTTGATTGTAAATGTGCACCAAGATCAGCATCAGGATGAATTAAATTATCAATAAGTAATGAAACAGGATTTCGTGAACGACCTTCAAGACCATTTGATAAAAATTCTAAATCCTAGGAAAAAAGAAAAACAAAAAAAAAAACAATGATTTCAACATCATTTATTCATTGGCATACAAGTAAAAAAACAAAGAGAATTCGATACGAACTTAAATTGCTTTGATAATAAAACCTCATATGAATAGTTAAACAAGTATTCTATTACATGTATAGATTTATTTGTTTTTTGAAGAAAAACTTTGAACTTTGTTTTTTGTTAAATTCAAGTATAGCAATATTAAATTAAATCAAATATCATTTTAATTAATCTAACCTGTTCAAGAAGTGAACCATCTTTGACATATTGTTCTAATTTCATATTGAGATAATCATTTGATACTGGACAACCATTCCAATAAGGTATATGACCAGAAAGAATATATGAAAGTACAATAGCGGATGGACCATTCCCTGCAAGGATATCGAATTTTTAATTTTATATATAAGTTCAATAAATACATACCAATGACGACAACTTCTTTTCGTTCGCAACGACCAGAAAAACATTTTTCAGTTGTATTAACATCCATTAAGTGTAGATATCGATTATCTATAGTAGCAAAACAACAAATATTTTGACTCTATTTGTAGATTAATATAGTAGAACGAAAGACGTAAATGAAAGAATATGCTTTGCCGTTCCTCAAAACATCTATATATATATCTTCATCTTTTTTTATTATTATTATTATTCTTCTTCTTCTTCTTCTCTCTTATTTCTCGCCCTTCATTTTGTATTGGCATTTGAGAGAAAATTGTTTCTTTCTTTCTTTTTCTATCATAGAGCAAAAAAACGGGGTTGTAATCTTATTTTTGTCTTTACAAACAACAATGTAAAGTTCAAACAATATTTATCAATTCCAAACAAGTAAAAAAAAGATAGTGTTACATTGAATGGTATATAAAATATAACGAAAACAAACGATTGATTAACTACAGATTACAAAATTAAAAATAAAATATGTGTTATTCCTTTTTTTCTTCTTTTCTATCTAATTAACAAACGTTCGTCTATATCAGTCAACATATAAAATTCATCCTCAGTACATTTATAAACCCTCGTAGTTTATCGAATGACAATATAAATTATTTATTAACTACCTACTTTTTTTTGTTTTTGCTTTGAAATAAAAATATAGAAAGAAAAGGAACATGAGAAATAACAAGAAAAATATACACAGATTGCCATTCGAACTCGAGAAGTAATATATTACGTTGTTCTTTGCTATTTGATAGTAAGAAAAACAACAATTATTGATAAATGATTTATCTATACAATGAGTATTTCATGGTACTAAGAAGAAATTTTTCTTTTCGGTACAATAATTTTCATTGATTTGTTTACTTTTACATCTATAATGAGTTCATTCCGCCCGGAAGTTTTGCAAAAATAGGTCAACCAGTAGACACAAGAAATACGATTACATTTGTGAACACTCTTGAGTACGGTTACAATCCATTAATAAATATTCTTTATATGTCGTCATTCCTATTTTATCATTATTCTTTAAAATAGAAAAGATAAGAAATTGTTGTCAAATTTTACTATTTAATCCTATTGTTATTTGTAAAAAAAAAAAAAAAATTTAATCTTTTATGATAATATAACTAAATCTATATCAATATATTCAAAATCTTCACACATTTTATTCGACTGAATTTCAAAAGAACAAAAAAGAAAAGAAACAAACGGTCAGGAAAAACTTTAATAATTCTTCAAATATCCACAAATAAAGGAAAATGAAAATGAACTATTTACAAATCTAAGAATAAATTTAAATATATGTAATCAATTGTGCACAAACACATAAATTAGAAATACTGTTGTCATTTTCATCACCGTAAATATACGGACAATATACATTTAATTAAATAATATTTATTTCACTTATTAGTTTTTATATTATTACAAGCAGCAGCAGCAGCAGCTAATAATAAATCATCATCATCATCATCATCATTGATTTTCATTTGAATATTTTTATCTGTAGATGGATAAAGATAATCAAGTTCAATAGATGTTTGATTATTATCATTATTTATAGGTTTTTCTTCAGCTAATTTTTGTAAAGAATCCAATGAAAATGGTGAAATTTCAATTGATATATTTATTTTATCATCATCCGATGATGATGTTGATGAATTTGTTGGATTACTATCAGTAGATTTCTTATTACGATGAGTAGTATCAACTAATAAAAAAACAATATTCAATTAATTTTCTTCTTAAAAAATTTTTTATTAAGTTTTATTTGTACCTGTTCGATTTGAATATTGAGGTTTAGGTGGATCTGGTTTAATATCAACATGAAATTGATCTCCATCATGAATATTATACCTAGAAAATTCAACAATAGAAATCAATCAATTGATCAAATTTTTTTTTTAAATCAAATATAGTCATTTTCTATAGATTATTCCGTATCGAACAAAACATCTATACATTCATTAGATTATTGATAAGAATTGTATTAAATTTCATCATATCAAATGATTAAAGATTAACATAGAAAATTTACTATTTTATCAATTGATACACAATGTTATTTTGACCCTCAGCGATTAAAAAGAAATATAATTTAAAAAAAAACAAACGTACTTAAATGTTCTGAATTAGATTAACTTGATTTATAATTTAAAAATTTTCAATAGCAAAAAAAAAAAAACAATAACGATGGATTTTATAGAGAATAACTTTATGGATTTTCTGAATTTCATAAAGATCTTTACAGTTTAAATTTAATACAAAAAAAAAAAATGTCATCTATATATTAATACATACGTATGTAATAATCTTTGTGGATATTTAAGTTCTTCAGGTCCACAAACACCCATATTAAAAGCAACATCATCTATATAAAAAACTCGTAAACGTGTTAATGGTATTTGAAAAATTTCATGAAGATATTTTTTAAATTGTTGTACAGTTTGTCGAACATCAATTTCTTTATCATATGTTATTTGATTATGAACAAGTCGAACATTAATTAAATAAGGTGCACGAATTTTAATATCAACTAATGGTTTAAGATTACCATGTTTTTCAGTTAATTCATGATATCTATAAAAAAAAGAAACAAGCAATTCTTCGTACAAAAGAAACAAAATTTATTCTCAAATTTTTACCGTTGTGGTTTATCATCACGTTGTGAATAATAACGAATAAATCTTCGTTCACTTGTTTCTCTTTCATTTGCTGTTATAACACTTCCATTTAATTTCGTTATATTTTTCATATAACCAAGTAATAAAAAAAATCGTTCATCTTTTTGATAAGGCTAAAAGATTAAATATTTTTCATTTTTCAAAAATAAAAATAATAAATTATAATACCTTAAGAAGTGGTGCTAAATGAATCCGTAAAGCCTTTAAACAAGGTAATTTTGTTAATGCAATAATATCATCCCATTCAGATACTTGAACTTTATCAACACTAAGTGTATGTAAATATGTTAAATATATATTAACATCTTCATTTGAACGAAAACTTTCTAAAGGATTATCACTAGCTATTAAAGTTTCTAAATGTGAAAATAAATGTCCAAGATAACATATTGATTGCCAATCGGTTATATTATTATTTGTTATATAAAGACGTTTAAGATTTTCATGTTGAAAACCATAATCTGATAAAATTTTTGTATAATCATTTGAACATATTTGAAGTTCTTCTAAACTAAAAATGAATGACATTAATTGATTTGTAGAAATACATAAAAATTGAAAAAATTCAGTGACCTGGATTTCATCGGGTTTTGTCGGAGCCCGATGAAAACTGATAGAATACAGTCAGAACTTAGTCGTATCCAGTCGGATTTTTTTTACCGGAATCCGGGTCACTGGATTCCCGTTGACTTCCGATAGGATCCTGTCGGTATTAAGACCATCCGATAGGATCCGATGGCTTGGCTTCGCCCTGGGTAGTAGAATTTAAACATTCTCAAATTGTTCTTGTCGGATGCATGATCAATACTTTTTTCGAATGTCATATTATTACAACACATATGTCCTAAATAGATAAGGACAAGCGAATTCCGGTTCCGGAACTAGAATCTACAATGATTACTTCTATTCATATCTAATTAGAACATTTGACAATAAATTGATGTTCTACCAATTATGAATGATAACCAAAAAAAAAGAACTACTTGCGTAGACAAAGCAGATATTTATTGAATATGAAATCCATTCCAGAATGAAATTATATTGACTAGATTTTGCTTTTTTTTATAGAAATTTAATAAACGTTATTATGACAAAAAATACGGTCCCGATTCCTGTTTCGGCAGAACTCGGATCAAATAACATATAAATTCATTCTAAATTATTAGTAAAATTTTTACTACTATTAAAATATCACTACAAATAAATGTATTCTAGTTTTTGAAATTCGTTTTTCATACGATTAATTATATGCTGTAGATAGAGCATATCAATCGTTAAAATTTTTCTTGCTTTTCTATAAGAGTATACCGTTCCAATATAGAGATATGGATTTGTTGTTTGCTTCCGGTTATAGTAGACTGTTTTCAAATAGAAATAATTGAAAAAAAACTCGATATAATATTACAGATCCCAGTATTTTAAATCTCACAAAAGAAACTTTTTAAGGTCTACTCTTCGGTTTTTTGTCATCTAAGAGCAAGTCAAAATGAACCTTATGGATGATTCTGTATTGATACACAGAGTAACTTTTTTAAACTTGAAAGATTGATTTTTGCAAGAAAGTTGATGTTTTGATATCCAAAGACTTATAATTGCGTATTTAATTTATGAAACATAAATATAGAATTGTTCATAAAGTTCGTTTTGTCTTGTACTGATTATTCTCTTACATGACAGTTGAGCATTATTTATGACACGCTACACATGTATTATTTTTTTTACTTGATAACAAGTAAAATTTCTATCATGATACTTAATAAGTATCATATGGTTACCTTATTCATATGAATAAAAAAAAACAAAAGACTCTAAATAAACTTCTACCAATAAAATCAGTCTGTTTGATTGAATTGATGTGAAGATATTTCAACCTGAAATTTTCAATGACTCAGTTTGAATCATATGTTTCATAATATTATGACTCATAGTTACATTAGAAACAAATTCTTTTTTTTTTTTCATTGATTCATAATCTACATTAAAATCTTTAAAAAAAACAAATGAATATAAACTTACTTTGGTGTCTTTTTAAGTAATTCAACAATCATTTCAAGACCAATATGACTTCCATTAAGACATAGAGTATTAAGATTTGGCCATTGTAATTCGATCGGTAATATATGTAAATCAGAAGGGAATGGATTGAAGCTTAAATTGATTGTTTTTACATGAGGTAATGATGAAAGAAGAAGTGATATCTAAATATCAATAAATAATCTCATAAGAAAAATAATGAAGAATAAATATACTTCATGCCAATCTGAGAATGCATTTGATGATATATCAACAAGTTCAACATGTGAACATGATATTTTTACAGCACGAGAATCACCTACATGAGATATACGTTCATCCGTTAAAACAACAGTTGATGCATTAAGAACAAGACCCGATTCTTCAAAAAAAAAAAATTAAATATTTTATAACTCAAATTAAATATATTTCATTTATACCTGTTTGTTTTGGTGATGAACCAACAAAAAAGACAATATCACAATCATTTTTCAGATCATCAAATGTTGAATCAAAATCACAATAACGTTCATAAAGAGCATCGGAAAAAGATCGACCAAATATTTCAGTAGCAGCCATATTAATCTAGAATAAACTGATAGACGTTTATCCTATGTTGTTGATGTCTCTTGTCCTTGTTGTTCTCACTTATACACACTCGTTCTATTATCCGCTTGCCAATAACACCAAGAGAGAGAAGAAAAAAAAAAAGACAAGGTCGCGTTTTTTTTTCTCTGTTTCTTCGTTCGTATTTATCAATTCATCAAACAGGCTATGACGTACGATCTTGTCAGCTGACTTACTACTCGTGTTAAGAATTGCGACCGCAAAATACTACGGAAGATTTAACACGATTCTAGTCATATGAGTTCATTATTATATACAATAACAAAGTAAAGAAAAGAAATTGATTAAAAATGAACTGATGTCATATATATACATAGTGTAAGATCAAATCAAAAAAATAAAATAAAAAAATTCGTCATCAAATATAGAGAGAAAAAAAATAGAAAGATTAGTCATTGACTCACTTTGGCGAGTCATCATTACTACATACATTAGCCCTTCAACATGCTTACTACCCCCATTAATTGTTCGTTCTTTTCTTTTTTTGTCTTTCTTTCATTCTCCTGTCACTCACTCGCTCACTTAGACGAACCATCAACTTAGTTAGTTGTGCAATCCAATTTTTTTTTCTTCTTATCCTGAACATGCAAATATAAATGCACCGTGTGTAATGCTTGATTTTGTTGCTATACATTCATTACTACTGGCAACTATGTAATCCATCTAGCGCTTGATTTTTAGGCGCAAGAAACACAAAAAAAATGGTAATAGTTACATACGATATATATCTATCATACTAAAGTATGTTACTTACACTTTTACATCAGATATCTCTATCAACAACTAGATTATATATAAGATAACGATGTTTTTAATGATAGTTCCTTTAACATTTATGAAAAAATAAATAATTAACAAGATATTCGGCAAGGAAAAAATAAATAAGAAACTACTCAAATCTAATTGGAATTACTAATAATGCATAGAATCATCGTACTCAAAGAATAATATTACATAATTCATTTAGTTGTGAAACAATGTGAAATATTTTGATTTCAACAGAACATATCCATCTTTAACTAATATTGTTGTCTAATGTTTTCTATTTTACATATAACAAAAAAAGAAAGAATAAACTATAATCAGAAATTTTATCATCTAATATGAACAATATACTTAAAAACTTATTATTTCATTAGATCATTCTAATCATAAAACTTGATCTAACACTTCAGAATTTCTTATACTTGTTATTTAATTTTACTTTTCATTTGATTAGATACGAATAATATGTATATCATCAATGATATATTTCTAGGATAGAAAAACAGATAATAACTAAAAGAAAACTATATTCTTTGTCTCATGAAATTTACTTAAAATTTCTTACTATCATTGATCATGATGATTAAAAAAAAAAAAAGAAGAAATATAAATTTCATTTTCTAAGACAACAAATACGAAAGTAAAAATAACATTAATATATAAAATTAGGTCAATATTTTTTTCCTTGTTTTACATTTATTTGGATTAATATAATAAAATTAAACCAAATAATGACATCCCAGAAAGAAAAATTCAAACAATTTCAATACAACTATTTAATAAAACTATGGAATACGATCAAGAGAATTTTTATTTCCTTAGTTTCTAGATTTTCTATAATGTAGACACATCAAACTCACGGAGAGCTTAAAAAATTGTTTTCATACGGAATAACGGAAAAAAACAACTTTTGTGGTTTTCATGTATCTCAATAAAAAAAACCTTTGAAAAATTTATTTTCTTTATTCAAAAAGAATTCTATTTGTAGATTTTATCAACTGAAAAGCTAATAATCGTTTTCATTTACGAAAAAAAAGGTTTTCTTAGATATAAAATTTTCTATATTAATTAACGACTTGTATTTGTATAAATCATATGTTAACATTTTTATATATAAAAAAAAAAGATCTATAATTCAATGATTTAATTTATATTTAATAATAAAACACAAAGAAATATTATTATGATTGTAATCTTTGTATACTAATAAAAATGTTTTTTTAAATTAATAGAATTAAGTATTGATTAAATTTGATGATCTATAGACATTTTTTTATTGTACAGAAAATAAAAATTCATTAACTATTGTTAATAGATAGTATTATCATTCGATAAGATAATTCTTACTTGAATATTTCTTTTTTTTTGATTATTTTTAATGTTCAATTGAATTCAATATAATATGAACAATAATATTCTCAATAAACGATCAGATGATTATCAATGTATTATTAAGTATTAAATTTATCAATAAAATAGAAATTTTTTTATTATTTGAAATATGAAATTTATTTTTTTTTTTTTGATTATAAAAATAAATTTATTTTTATTTAAAATAATATTTCTTTATAAAACTTCAAAAAAAAAAGGTTAAAGAGGTTACTTAACAACTATTATGGTAGAGAAATTTAACCAATCAAATAAACAATTTCTAATCAATATGAAATACATAACAACATAAATATGGCTCAACATATAACACCACTTTCACGTCAAACATCAATTCTTTTAATATGTGATATTCAAGAAAAATTTCGTTCCGTAATAAAATATTTTCCTCAAATTATTGAAACATCAAATAAATTATTACAAGCATGTAAAATTCTTGATATACCATATGTTATTACTGAACAATATCCAAAAGGTAATTTTAAGTTTTAGAAAATAATAATAAATTCTATTTTATTTTCAATAGGTCTTGGTCGAACAGTATCTGAATTGGATATTGGTGATATTAAACCATTCGAAAAAACTCTTTTTTCAATGTGTACATCAGATGTTTTATCACATATAAAAGAACAAGTAAAAGGTAAAGTTAATAAAATTTTTATTTTTTTGTGACTAGTAAAATAAGTTCTCTAATCTATTAAATACTTATAATACTATGAAGATATAGTATTTTTTTTTAATAGAATGTATTAATTTCAATCTTCGACTTGAAGTTTTATATAAAGACAGATTTAATATTATAATAGTTTATTTTGAAAGTTTGAGAGATGACCTGTCTTTCTGCAAAGTTTCTCATAACTACGGCAATAAGCTGAGAACTCAAACTCTTTCAAGGATATTTATAGCAGAGATGTCCATCGCGGCTGAAACTCTGCTGCTGCCGCGCCGTGATGAGTAATAAACTTGCCGCTGCCTCGATGGCTTTCAAAAAAGTGTTTCGATTTTCACTGCTGCAACTCTATTGGACCAGAAATATTGGTACTAGTCCATCAGATTTATTCAGTTTCGGGGTGTTTCATTTGTAAACAATGAAATTCTATTAAATTCATGCAGTTTTTCAATGCCCTCGAAAAAAAATGCTGCCGCTGCCGCGATGAGTTTTTAAGAAACCTGCCGCTGCCGCGCCGCCATGGACATCTCTGATTTATAGCACATTTAGAATCTTTTTTTTTTTTTTCTATATAGATTTTAATACTGCTATTATTTGTGGTATCGAAGCTCATGTTTGTGTATTACAAACCGTGATTGATCTTCTATCACAAGGTTATCGTGTATATGTTGTTGTTGATGCTGTTTCATCTCGATCATTAACTGATAGGTATTTTAACTTATTTTATTTTTATATAATTTTATAATGATAATGATTTAGAATGTATGCATTTGATCATATGCGTCAAGCAGGTGCTTTTTTAACAACATTTGAATCAATTGTACTTCAACTGACACGAGATGCTAATCATCCAAACTTTAAACAAATTCAACAATTAATTAAAACATCTGCAGCTGATACTGGACTATTTCCATTACAAAGCAATCCGATTTCATCGTTATAAAGAGAAACATTTTTTTTTGTAATATGAAATAGAAAACAAAAGTTAATCTCCGATAGTGATAAAAAAAAATAGTTGATTGTAATTTGAATATAGAAACAAGTAAATGTAAACCAATGTATTCTTTTCTAATACGATCTATTTCATATTGCACTATAGAAAAATAAATATATATATATAATGAAATATCATAGTATAATTTAAACAAAATGTAAGATTTATATCAATGATATAAAATTAAAAATTATTTCAAGATTAATCATTTTACACATAGACTTTTGTCATTATCAATGAATAACGAGACTTGATTAGAAACAGTATCAATTGCAATATGACGTCTATAAAGGTGTAGGGATAGGGTGTGGTTGTAGGTGTAGATGTATTCTAGTTCACATCCACACTGTAACGTTGAAAAATGATTTGCGATAAATTTTGATGAAAGTTTTATTTGTTTGTCGAGTTTGTTTTCGATATCAATAACAGAGAGTGAAAATGGTGAAGAAACCAGCAGAAGAATAACATCAAAGAAATGGTGTACAGTGGGTACCAAAGTTGATGAACCAGTAGACTTAAATCATTTCATTTGTATGTTCGAAATTAAGAGAGTTGAAATCATGCTATTTTCATCATTCCACAGGCAATGTGATTGCTACAATATGTAGAAGCAATAGATTCACATTGTTAGTTTGAGTTTTAATTTTCTTGTACATTTTTAGTTGTTTCTACAGGATTTCATGGAATAGGACATAGTCACGAGATTTACTTCAATCAAGAAAATCGTTTCAAATTACTATCTGTTCACTGAGCGCACTTGACATTATCGAGATGAAAATGAAAATGATTCAATGGATTTTGCATTTGAATCAATCAGATCTTTAAGAAATATGATTACGATTGAAATAAAAATAAACTCATTCAATTGGTTTGTTGAGAAATCAATCGCAATCTTTACTATAAGTCGGTTTTCATCACAAGAACAGTTAAGTCATCAATGTTCATTCATACACCAAAAATAGATTTGAATTCCTATCTTACTGAACCTTTTTCCCATGTGAAAAGTGTAAATCAAGAAGAGTACTGATCTTTCCTAACTGTTTTTTTTTATCTCAATATAATTGGCTGACATATTCCCCGATCAAAACAAATTCCCATCTTATTTTTCCTCTTGATGTGATTCATTTGGTCTCAAATGTATAGTATAGATACCTTGATTCAGAGATGGAACCGACACCGGTTTATATTTTTTATTTTCCTACTCTATGATGGTATTCACATGAAAAAACAGCTGGCATCAAGGCTAGTCCCACTGATCACACAGGAATTGATTTAACAAACAGTTTCTAGAATGTCCACAATGAGACTATTGTTTTCAATGGTAAAACGTTATGACAGTATGCATGAAAGTACGAAGGTAGTCCGCAAAAGAGTTCACTGTAAAACAAGGTTTCATTTTAAGCCTCTGCCTGTTGTCTGTAGATCGATATCTGTCGGTATGTCGGATTTTCTCTGATAAGCTGATGTATCATCCGCATCCTGTTTAGTACAGGTAGGCCGGTTTTCGCCGATAGACCAGTTCCATCTCTGCCTTGATTGTCTGTCTAACTTCTCTTAAAATTTCAGCTGTAAACAATGAGTTGTGGCTGCAGAAACAGTAAAACAGAAATTTGGTATGAAATTAGTTTTTACACTACACGTCACAGATGAATAGTTAATGCGTTATTTTAACTATTTAGTCAGACGAGCTGAATTCTTAACTTCCACCAACGTATTCAAGAATCACTACCTATTTGACAACGACTTCTATCTAACTCGTTCTTTTCTTCTTCTTTTCGTCATAGGACATCGAGAACTTATTTGGTACTAGTTGAGAAGCAAAGAAGAAATGCCATAGAGAGAAATAGAAACGTACCAACAGAAAAACCAAGGCGCACTACTTGTGTTTTCTTTATGTCTAGATAGTCGGGCAAGCGCTTGCTAGGAAAAAAAGAGGAACGCGCGTTCATTTATGTATGTAGAACGAGAAGAAAGATGAAGCACCAACATGCAGTAAACCACGTGTCGAAGAATATGAAAACGTCTAATGGTGAATAAATATAAACACGATGTCTTTGATCGAGCAGGAAAAAAAGAAATAAGATAGATCTTCCATTATTGACATCACATAGAAACAAGACATCAGTGTAATATGGGTAAATTGGATGGTAAAGTTGCTCTGATTACTGGTGGTTCAGAAGGAATTGGCTTCGCTACTGCTCAGCGTTTTATCGCCGAAAATGTAGAGCATGTATTCATCACTGGACGTCGACAAACAGCACTTGATGAAGCTGTGAAGAAGATTGCTGCGAAAAATGTTACTGCAATACAAGGTGATACATCAAATATGACTGATCTTGATAAATTGTTCAGTATCATACAAAAAGAAAAAGGTCGTTTGGATATTATTTTTGCTAATGCAGGTACTTGTTCATTTGCAAAACTTGGGACGATTAGTGAAGAATATTTTGACAATGTAATTAATGTCAATGTTAAAGGCGTTTTATTTACTATTCAAAAAGCGTTACCACTGTTGGTTGATGGTGCATCGATTATTCTCAACGGATCGAATTCATCGAACAAAGGCGATCCTGATTTGAGTGTGTATTGTGCATCAAAAGCAGCAATCCGTTCCTTTGCTCGTTGTTGGTCTGTCGATTTGAAAGAACGGAAGATTCGTGTAAACACTTTGAGTCCAGGTGCAGTTGATACTCCATTATTACGAAGTATGGGAAAAGATGAAGAAGAAAGTCAACGACTCATTGCCGAATGGGCAGCAGCAACACCTATGAATCGAATTGGTACACCGGATGAAATTGCTAAAGTCGCTGTTTTTCTTGCTTCAGACGATAGTAGTTACGTGACGGGTATTGAACTATTTGTTGACGGTGGCCTCTCGCAAATCTAAGAAAGTTTTTATTGACACTGCTAAAATAACTCTCTCAGTTTTATTGATTAAACATTCGTTTATATTTAGATCGAAAAATTTGAAAGTATTTTGAATTCAGAACGAAGTGAATAAATGACATTTATTTTGAAATAAACATACATGCACAGCCAGAACACGCCTTACTTATATTGAAGCATTGCTAATTGCCAAGGAAAATCTTTGTAAGTGATCGTTCGTTGCTACTCAATCAAGATTCTTATGAATATTTGTTGAATATAGATCTCTATTCGTTGTAAATCAAGTTGACCTTGATCGATTCTTCGCTAAATCTTTCAACAAAATTGAATCTGGTACTGTTTCTAATGATTTTCGAAATGAGAAAAGCTTTTCGGAAATCAGTCGATTTGAGTTATTATATATATAATTGATTTGAACTTCTTTTCAAAAAGTCTCAACAGATGATTTCAATTCATAATGATACAGCAAGATGTGTGTTGAGCCAGATTTGCAATCGATTATAGTAGCTCGTACTTATGCTTAGTCTTCATCCCGTTATGATTCTAAAACCACCATGATCTGTTATCAAGTCGCAAAACGATCGGTATCGTTGCAGAATCTAAAAAAAATTGAACTTGCATGCTACATAAACAAAAGCTATTTAGTGGTACACACAAGACTGTTTCAGTTATTCAGCACTGAATCGAGCGCTCCGCTTGGAAGAAATCAACATTATTCTCAAAATGGGCTTCTTTATACGTGATCTACATCAACAAATTAAACGTTTATATACGCCCTTCTCAGCAACATTGACTGCATATTGAGGATAGGAACTATCGAGCGAGGATTTCGAAGCGATACCAGCAAGAGAAGACTGTGGGTGTCGGTGTGAGATGTTCTATTCATTCACATCAACACCCACACCCTTTTCAGAAATTCGGCTACGAGAACATTTTCTTATCGAAGTCAATAGTGATACTTTGAAATAGTTTCTGACTATCTTATTCTTATGAATATGGCTTAGGAACATTCCTCTATTAGTAGCAAAACAAAATCAACCCATTTCATTCAAACACCGTTGAAATATTCAAATTTTTTTATCTCTAGTAAATTTCCGGACGTCCTATAATGCCAAGTGTAGCAAGCACAGTATTGAACGTGTGATTCAAAACAGATAATTGTTAATGAATTGTCAATGATTATATCATGTCGGATGACGTTGTCATTCAGCTATGCTTGTATCGATAACTGAAAAAACCATTTTATGATTTTACATATGATTTTAGTCTGTATTTTATAGAATCCTGGAAGTCTCATATACACCATAATTCTATAACTCGATACTCTGTTCATGAAAAAGCAACGGAACAACAACTCATTTTCATTAATGTCAATCTTCAGTAGCTGCATTAGTGGAAGCTGTACTACCAATAGGACCACTTGTTTGATGCTGACGATCTAAATCATTATTTTCTACGTGAACCTAGAACAAAAACGAAAAAAAAAACAGAAAACCTTTCAGAAATGATAACAAAAACCGGCATTACATTACTATTCGTCGAATTATGGTCATCATGATAAAATCCAATAGTACCAACATCAACATATTTTATAAGAAATTCTGGTATTGCTTGGCCAGCCTAATGACAAAGATCAATTGAAAATTCATGTTGAATTTACAAAACAAAATATACTTGGCATAATTTTAGTATAACTTCAAGAGCAATTTTTCTATCAGACTCTCGATCCGGGTCAAAAAATGATATAGATTTACCCCAATGACCAGCATGGCCTATAAAAAAAAACAATTTTCAAAATTATTTCTACTTTTTCTTATGATTCATTCTATCTGTTCGACCAATACGCTGATTATAAAAATCACTTGTATCTGGTAAATCATAATTAATAGCAAAATCAATAAAAGGAAAATATAAATCATGAGCAGCAACAAATGTTGCAATAAGTATTCGACATTTTCCATTTGTAAATTGTTCTAGAGCTTCATTTCGTTGTTGATGTGTTTGATTGTCATGGATTATTATACTCATGAAATCTTTTTGTGAAAGTAATGCACCAACATCATCAGCTGATTGCTGTGTTTCAACAAATATCAAACAACATCCAGATTCTAAACAAAAAATGAAATAAGAAAATTTTCTCACTAAATTCTCTAAGAATGATTCCTACTAAGATTTTGTTCAAGTAATTGAAAAAGACGATCTTGTTTCTTTGTAAGTAGTACTTCTTCAATTGTATGTGCTACATCAGCATTCGTACTATCATAGAAAAAAATATAATCTTCACGAAGGAAATATTTTGCTAATTGTTGTAATTCATTAGAAAATGTTGCGGAAAATATCCATGTAATACGTTCTTCTTTTGATGATAAACCAAGACTTTCTAATTTGCGTATATCAGATTCCAAATCTGCATCTAACATTCTTTAGAAAAACAAAAATATGCAATTGAAATTAGATACAATACCATCGGTGTCGTTTTTACATACTGGTCAGCTTCATCTATAACGAGATATTTCACTTTTTTTAGTGAAATCTGAAATAAAGAATCCTGTAAAGCTTTGAAAAATAGTCCACTAAATTATAATTTTACTTGGCCTTTTTTCACTATGTCTTTAAGATGACCGATAGTTGCAGATAGAATATGACAACCTTCTTGAAGACGATCCGATGCAGTAAACATATCGTGACCATCAGCAACAGAACCTTTTAACAAAAAAAGAAACAATTCGATGCAGATACGAATAATAATCACTGGAGCATTTTACAAGAATACATGTTTCCGTTGTACGTGTATAAAGTAACTTACATGGTACCACAGCAGTTCGATCTGTGATTTTTCTTGCTTCACGTTCTGTTTTTAAAGCAAGTTCACATGTAGGTGATACAATAAGACAAAGTGGTGACGGCGGATATTCTCTATTAGATAATTCATCGGCATGACATTCGAGTAAATTTGAAATAATTGGTAAAATAAAAGGAGCCTAAATAATCGTTTGATTAAGAATGAATAGTCGTTAAAAAATAAAACTTACTGATTTATTAGATTCAATTTGAACACAAACCAATAAATCATCTCGTTGTCGAATACAAGGTAGTATATAACGTTGAATAGCTGTTAGATCTTCAAAGTGAGCAAGACGAATATTTGATAGAACTTGTATGTCAAGATTAGCCTCTTCATTTAATTTAATTGGTTTCACTTTGTCTAATGAAATATAAAAAAAGTCATCGTTAAATGAAATATTAAAAATAAAATAAAGAATACTATATTACCTAACGGTGTAGAACGAATTTGTATTATAGAATATTTTTCAAAGTCTTCATCCATTTTTATTGCTTCAATAAATATATCATCTTCAGTTGTCGGTGCAGGTGATGAAATATAATGTTCCATTGGATGATCATCAGCTATAGAAAAAAAATGACTTCGATTATTGTTCTATCGTAATTCTTATATGTATTTACGTTGATTGAAAATATCATCAGAAACCTATATGTATGATTGAATTTTTCTTTTCAAAAATTAAATATCTACTTACTCGATTATTATTTCTTCTAACATTAGAATTGCGGATGCCATCACCATCACTATCTAAAAGATATTAAAAAATAATACAGAATTATAAAATATAACAAATTAAATAAATCATACTACGAGGTTTTCTTTCTTCAGGACACTCACGACAAAAATGACCAGGTTTATTACTTTTAAAAAGCAATAATTCAGCAAAATGCAAACATATAATTTAAAAATAAGGCTTACCATTTGAAACATCCTAAACAAATAACACGAATATATATATATTATTTAAATAACTTGAATATACTTACTATTGCTACTTCTACCACGACTACCACCACGATTATCTAGCAGATAAATAAAATCCATAGTTTCTTCTACCTATTTAAATTTATCTTACCATGAACACCTGATCTAGATTGTCCTCTGTATGGACCTCGAAAACATTTATTTAACAAATTGTTTTGCTACGAAGAACTGTAGATTATGATTTACCTCGATGCATGCGACCACCAATAGTGAAACCAGCACGAATCGATGAGTTATGAAACGTTGTACTTGTACGAGACTCGTCAGAATCATTAACATTGCTGATTTGACTTGCTACATCACCTTTCGAACGACTAAAACTGGTCTTTTCATTGTAACAATTACTTTCATGTTGATCTTTCCGATTGAATGACTTGTCAAACATCGATGGTTTGCAATCATTTGGCGACAAAACCGTATCAGTAGTGCAATTGTTACTTTTACCTCGTGTATCTTAAAGATAAACGCAAGCGTATTTCTCATATTTATTTAGCTTTATCTTACGATGAGCAGCTGAACTGACTCGCTTTCTACGTACGACTTGACTACCTTCAATAAACGATTTATTTTTCTATTTAGATCATAACGATTTTTGTTTGTTTACCTAGAGGCATTCTATCACTTGTGTTAATATCAGTACAGATGGTTGAGTTCAGAACAGTAATACTTGTTATAGATCCGTCAGAATCATTGTCTTCAGTTGTTTTACTTTTGACATCGTTTTCGTTGTTTGACGATAACAATTCAATACCATAACTCTCAACATTTGAACTCAAAGTAACATTATGTTCATTATCAATTCTATCAGATTGATCTCGTACATCAGAAGATTCTTGACGCTTTTGATCAGTCTTGCTACTAGTGCCATGTTCTTAAAAAAACAGAGAAAAACGATTTCATTGAATATGCCATGATTTTTTTTAAAAATATTGATAGATGTTCAAATATTTAGGCATCTAAACTATACACTTAGTTGGAAAATGGTTGTTATCACTCCATCGAAATACATGACTACAAACTTTCTGATTTCTCATGCTGTAGTTTGTAGGCATTAGAATCACTCAACTATAGTAAAACTAACTTCGTACGAGTCTTGTTTATAAGAAAAATTATACAATCAGATTAGATTTCAACCATTAAGACTTTGAACAGGTAGCTGCTCCAGATGTTTGCTAGTAAACAGATACATGGAAAAGTACAAGTAATAAAGAGTATTCGAAACATATTTCATTCGAATTCAATCAATAATAATCCTTAATGTTTACATATAAAACGATGTTTCACATGTGAATATATGAGTATTTCGATCTGATACCTATATAGTACAGCTAGCAATAACTGCTCTTTCAATTTCTACATATGCTTATAATACTCTACATTTATGCGATTGATAACGAGTTAACTTCTAGGAGGTTAGAACATATGTAAGTAATTTTGGGTCAAAATAATAAATTTAGTAAAATCTATTTTTGAAAAAATTTTATAGAGAAGAATTCGAATGAAATTATCGTATTGTTAATACATGATCTCTCTAATAAAATATTACTAATACTATATGATTTTCTAATATTGATGGATAAAAACACAATAGTTCTCTATAGTGAGTGTGTAGTCAAGTCTCCTGGAAAAATTTCGTGTTCGTATAGCAAAACTAATTTACCAATGTATATGTCATAACTACACTTACCAGATGATAAATGGATGGAACTAATATTTATTAAAAGTGCAGAATCAATTGGATTTGAATCTTCTGTTAACTTCGTTTGATTTTTGTTCAAATCTGTTTTGTTTGATTTCTTTTCTTGACGAGTTTCGGATGAAACAACAACTGAAAATTTTTCAATAAACGATGTGTTCTCTTTCTTAATTGTTACATTTGGCAATTGCACAAGCTCTTCTCCTAATTTTGTCAATTGTGTTTTGATTCTAACTATATTGATTTCATTAAATTCATTTTCTTGACGAATTTTCTTTAACTCTTCAGTTAATTGAGATAATCTATCTTCCATTTTCGTAAAATGTTGCATATTCTGTTCAATCAATATATGTCTACATTCTTCTGCTGTTTTTTTAATTTTTTGAATCGACTCTTGCTCCCATAAGTTCACATCTTGTATAAATGGAGGCTTTCTTGAATTTTTCTTTTGTTCAACAAGGTTTTGGTGAAATTTATTACGATCATTTTCAATGTCATTGAATTGCTTAATGATTATTTGACGATGTTCTGTTGAATGATCGAAACAAAAATCTTTAGAACAGCCTCTACATGTAAAGCCGACTGTTTCTTTATTACATATACAGCATTTTGATTCAATACTTGGCTTTGGCTGTGGCTGTCCCATGTGTATTGAATGGTTTGACGATAAAAATTGTATCTATGTACGAGAATATAGAGGACAGATTGAAATTAGTGAATATATGGTGTGAATACATAGAGATATAGACAAATAAAATGCGTCAATGTCAGCCTCATTCTCGCTGCATATTAAAGATAAGATGTTTTCTCTTCTTTCTATTTTCTCACGTAACATATTTTTATATTAAAAAAAGAAGCATCGCTTATCTGTTGACGATGAATCATGATCTGATACACCCTAAAACATAGATGGTTCAGAACTGATTCTGAAAAGTGAAGCAAAATTGACTTTCAAAATACATTAGCATTACTTTTTCTCTTGTGATAATTTATCATATCTTATAGTGACCAAAGTCTAGCACATTTTCTCATCGGAGAAGTATCTAAATCATACTGAAGAGAATAGTTAACAATACATGACTTTATCATATACCGAGAAGATACAGTTCATCTTGAAAAATCACTAAAAGTATTGTGGGTGACATAATAAGTTGATTCATCCGTGAAAGAATATACTGAGTTAAACTTAGAATCGTCAGTCAATGCAAGATTTATGAATTCATGAATATGAAATAAAAACCAAACGGTTATACGATCAAAGTCTCAAACTAGCACTTGATAATGATAGAAGAATGGCGGAGAAATCTATCCATAATAGACAAGACTCGCTAACTAATCCGATGTCTTGAAGATGATCGAAATATAACGAGTGCACCATAAACGATAAGGGTCTTGCTATTTTCTAAATATATTCTGTTGTTTTGATAGAGAACAACTGAATCTGTTTTGCAGAAGATTGAACATTTGATTATTTACAAAAATATAGATAGATGTATATCTTAGAAATGCCAGCACACATATTAATTGATATCATAATACTGCAGATATATACAATGCTGAACGACCCAGACAGGGATTTAAATGGTAAAATGGCATTAAAATGTCTATAAAATAGTAATCATTTTAATGATGTAAAAACAGTCACAACTATTTTCCTTATAGTTGAGTAGAGCTTGTCAAGTTATATAAGAAAGAGATCCCGAATTTTCATTTTCGTAACTGTTTTGAATTTGAAAGATAGCTTTTGTCTCGCATAACTCGATGAGCTATATCCAACAATGACGAAAAAACGAAAAACTTCTAACATTTTGATTTGTGAGTACTTTAGATAGGGTGTAAAAATCACCTTATTAACTAACAATATGAAGACTTCTATCACAAGCATTCTCAATGTTCAGCACATTGTTTGACTTATTCTCTTCTTTGTACAACAATTTTATTTTTTTCGATGTGCCCTCTTATAAGACTGTTTGTATGTTTTTTAAGAAGGACATTCAACAGATTTCTCTATTGTTCAGTGAACTGCTATAATCTATGGCTGACATCTCAGTAGGTGTTAGATATTACTCGTGAACATGAAATTTTATTATGAGATTTAATTCTTGATGCTATTGTGAATAAATTATGAAAAAAAATTGAAGTCGTGTTCATTTGATTCAGAAAGATATGGAAGAAGAAATAGATCGCACCAAAAAAAATTAAACAAATACTGTATTTCAAAGAAAATTTGTCAAACCTCTAAATTGCTGAAAAAGAGTTACTTTTTTATTCTATTCTTTTGTTTAAAGTTTAACATGTTCTGAGTTGTGTTAAGTCAAGAGACGGCTTACATATTACTAATAGATCATCTTCATTTTAAATGAATCAAATTTTATCTCTTCTTCCTTATCAATCAGTGTTCTTTGTTTGAAAATTAAGAGAATCATCGGTCATTTCGAATGAACTAATCAAACAATTTAGATGTAGAGAAAACAGAACATCAAAAACAGAGAAAAACAATTATATTCTAGTAATCATTCGGGTATAAGCAGTCGTAATAACAAATGGATCTATGGAGACTGTGATAACTATACAGTTATCTAGAGATAAAAAAATTATTCTGAATAAAAGCTAAGAAAATTGTATCTCATTCGTAGGAAAAGTGTAAAAGATGAAAAATCTTGATTATTTATTCAAGAATAAGTTATACCTTACTCTTAAACCATCCTTAGAACAAATCGTGGAAGAAAACTTAAGAATAACGTAAGCAATGACTAGTAAGTTGTATAATTTTTGGTAACTGTGTACATACTTATATCAAATCAAAATCGGAGAAAGAAATTTTCATTTGGTTATCATAAAATGAGTTGACAGTATATTGTCGGAAGAAGTAAAACACATTTCTTTCTACCAATTAATAGCAGATCTTCTTCTCACCAGTGGCATCTATTTTTATTTTTTTTTCAAAGAATAGATCGAAAAGATTTTTGAATTTATTTTATATTAGGATCAGATAATGAAGAAGGGCATACATTCTTTTTGCCAACAAAAATTATTTTTTCTTAACGAGCATCACTGAGAAGCTAATTCTCCTAGTAACGAAGAGACCTTGTTAAATAAATGAAAAACCTTCTCACGCTATACCTCGTATCGAGTTGAATATTTTACTTAAGTTCGCTGGATTTTGTGTATACATTTCGTCTGTGCATTGAAAAATTCTGTTTTAATGCTGATCAAGTATTAATTTATTATTAGAAAGAAGAAATTTTACAGCATACAATTCAGAAACATCACAGATGAATAAAATAAGACATAAGTAAAAAAAACAAGCATTAGCAACTAAAAAAATTTGATACTACAACATGATAAAATAAATTTCGTTTATTTTGTATTATCTAAATTACATGAATATATTAGAATGATGATATAAACAATAACTAATCATCAATATAAGAAATACAATGCTGACTACTTGTTAACAGTGTTCATCGAAGACAGCACAGACATTGAAAGAACTACAACAGCTTACAAAAATGAACGTTAATGAAATGTATTCAGCTAGAAGGAGAGACGCAAAGACAAATAAGGAAAAGGTGTATCGGAGGTGCTAAAGTGGAAAAGTAAATCGCTTCGAAAATGGCTGTGGAAAATATGCTAGTCATTCCATAAAACAAAGTTAAATGTACATAAAAAAATGAGATCTCTCGACAAAAAGTCAACCAATAAAATTCTTTACGCCGAAAACATAATCACAGTGCATCAACCACTTTCGAATCTGTTATCAAAAGCATGAGTCATTGGTTCTTGACAGCAGTATACCATGAGAAAGAAAGAAAGAAAGCTAGACACATTTGCATGTACACATTCAACTCGCCATTGCACAAAAAGAAATATATATGCAGCCTCTAAAAATATGAAAGAGAGCTTTCCGTATCAAGTACCAAAATATTATATTATTTCTATTTTAATGCGATATAATTTAAGTCATTTTACGAAAAATAAGATATTAAAATGAAATGAATAAACATCGACTTTTATAGAATTTTTTTGTCAAAAAATACTGAAAATTAATAGTATATCATTTACGATAAATAATACCGAAAAAACATGAGAAATGCTAGTATTTCTTTGTTTATTGGATGAGTAAAAAATTGAATAAATTCCATCTTGTGTTTCAAAGAAGTTTTTCAATTAAATAGTTCTATTAAAAATCAATTTATTGTACCGAATTTCCCTCAGCCTGGATAATCAAATTATTCAGAATTATTTTTTCATTTCAGAAAGTTTCTGCACAGTATGTTTATCTGATTCTTGATCATTTATAGATTTGTTAAAAGGTGAAAAAATGTACTGTTCGAATCTGCTATTGAGTAGAAGTTTTTATTCATTAACTGAAAAACTTTATATCTTTTCTTTTTTCTTCATTCGAACTAAGATCTATAAAACTTGTCTTTGAAAATGCTAGAAACGTATTAATCTACTTTGTTTTATTCATCATCTCTAACGTTCTTAATCAAGTAACTATATAGGATAAAATAAAATCTCATGTCTCGTCCAAATCGCATGCGATTATACATACGACAATGATCTTGCCGAAGAAAAAAAAAACATGGTTAATATCAAAAATATAATCGTATTTGAAATTCGGTTTTCAGCGAACATCTGTTGTAACTCTGAATTGTTGTGAATTAGCTAACAGGCGTAAATCAAATTTATTTATATTGTTTATTAGATCAGAACACAAACTATTAGTTTTGTCTAACAAGCAATTGTTATAAAGTTGATAAAAAAAACTTGCTTGGATCTCATTGATATCTTCAAGTGGTGCGTCTCATAATTCTCTTGACGTTTACTTTTCATACCAATATTACCGCTTATTATAGCATATTCAGCCTACATTATTCGTGTAATTATGGATACTGCAACACATAATCGTGAGATCTTCTTCACGTACTACTATGTTGGAAAGTATATAGGTTCTCAAAAAAAGACAAATTTTTCTTACAAATTATTTGTTTTTTTTTGCTAAATATCTATATAGATTCACAGATGGGTGTGGGCGTGAATGTAGTTAAAGAGATCCCTACATCCACACTCACCCACACCTTCGAGTCTGATACAAGATATTTCTAAAAGAGTCTAGTGTCTGATTTTTCGAAGTTGCACGTTTTCTTAAATTTACTCTTGGCCAACAATTATTTTCTTACGTTTGATATTTAAACATGCTTTCGAAAATGGTATTGACTGTAGACATGCTAAAGATAATATATTTGTTGGTATGTAAATCTCAGCTTTGTTTGTTTCTACAAGAAAATTTAGACGCATTTAATATACTGGCTGCTAAACAACGAAAAAAATACAACAAACGGTACAAAAGAAGACGCTTCTGTTTTTTTTTTGTTCTCACTAGGATATTTATTTTGTTCTTTCTTACGGAACACAAAATTAATGAAGAATTGGAAAAACATAAAGTTACTTCATTTCTACAAAAAGCATGCAGTGAGTAAACCATGATCAATGACACAGATATTAACTCAATGGGTAGGAAAAATTTACGGTAGTATTGAAGATTTTGATTTTCTTTTTGAACATCATGGTAGACTTGTCTGTAGTCAAATTAAACAAAGAGAAAATCTTTAATGATCTTTTGACTTCAAAAGTTGGTTTGTTTTTCACTGACTGTTCATCATTTGTTGACTATTCAATTGTAAAACTGAATTGAAAGATTGATCAAATGAAATTGTTAAATTCATGTGGTAATTAGTTATACTAAATCTTCGACTGCGTTGAGTTTCTGCTTGTTTAATAATAGATGTTGTTGTTTAAGTCGACTTTCAAAAGGAAACAAAAATCAAAATCTAATTAATATATATTTTTATATATATGAAATATTTTTCTTTCAGTATAAAGAAACTATCAAAATGATTAGATTCTAGACAACAGTATTCTATTATTTACATTATTTTGACATTGTTTAAGATAATTTCGATTGATGTTTTTGCATCTTCTTTTGTTTAAATTTTTCATTGATTTTAAATGACGTCGATCAATTGATTTACTCTTATCTATTTTATGTTGATGTGATGAGACAGATTTCTTATTTTGAAATTTGTTGAATTTTATCTCATCTGCTGATCGAATTCGATCACCTCTTTCATATTTTGATTTCATTATAGTCGATCTACATCGATTATAATGAAAATCTAATGGTTGTTCATTGAAAAGTGGATCTTGAAATTGTGATGAACCCAAATCTCGACTGTCATCTACTCATAATTTAAAATATGATGAACATATTTTCTGTTCATCTTTTATTAAAACTTGTAAGATTGAATCGTTTTCATAGATCAATGACTGGTGATCAACTTAGTGGTAGTTTTTTAATATTCAAATTGATTGCAGATGATGATGAATGATAAATATTGTTGATCATTATAAAATAAAATATGACGATCAAATAAAAGAAGATGACAAGAATGAACCAAAAAATGAAGAAGAGCAAATTAAAGTTCATGAATAGAAAAGATTTCGAACGCGCATTATTGTTTTTTCGTTATCAGTGGGGATGTTTTTCTGTTAATTTCAGTCACAAACTTAAAATCGAAGAGGTGACAGCACGAATAGAAGTAGGAAATATAATCGTATGTACCTACAGAGTGATGAAACAAGTCTCACATCCATACACACAGGGTCCGGGTCTGGAGTAGATGTGAATGATGATGTCTGTTGGTTTTCTTCTCATTTACACTTACACTCCAAGGTGAAGATGTCGTTGAATTTTCAAAAAGAAAGATAAAAATTGCATCACATGTAGGATTAGAAAATGCAACTTCAGGTAAAGAGTCAATGATAAGTTAATATCAATTGCATTCAGATGAAAAATACCGAAAAAATCTTACTTTTTCCGTCCAGTTCATCTAAATAGTTTAGAAGAAAGTTATGATTTTATCAATGATTTTTCTCAAGCAATGATTATGGAATCAATATCACCTACAATGTGATATTTCTTTGGAATTCGATATATAGATTTTGTTAGTTCTCCAGGTCAATAGCATCGTCCCATTCTTGTTAAAGATGCTATAGAATTCGTTTTTAAGATTCTGATATTATATCTGAATAACTTCGATCTATATTCATTTGTTACATAAAGCAGCTAAGTAGGTCACTTAGAATAGGAAAACAAAAACAAAGGGTCATATTGTATGTTGTCATTATTGTCAATACTATAAATAGAAACACATACTAAAGCAATGTGACTATATACAAAAAGAAAACGAACAAAAAAAAAGTAAAAAGTAACATAATAAAATTAATAAAAATAATGATTTTTCAATTATGATTATTTCTACTTATTCATTCAGATTGTGACAATTTCACATCACAAAAAAAAATATATATATTGGAATGTTAAGATCACCTTATTATTGAGATATTTTCTTTTTCATCATAATTAAAATTAAAATATTATGTAGTAATTACTGACGATGATTCATCTTTAGCAAAAAAAAGCCATTTGAGAAACATACATATTGTATAGAAATATTTGATGTATACTATAAATAAGAATAGCTAATGTAAGGTGCGGGAAATTCAAAATTTTAGCATAAATCTTTTTTTCCAATGTATTATATATGGTTGGATAGAGCTCGTCAAACTGTATAAGAAAATGTATTTTAAAAATTTTTTTCTTGCTTTATATCAAAAAAAAAATCAAAATACTTTGATGATATCAGTCTATGTAAAAATCGACTACTTTTGAGAAATGATATTTAAATTTCTCTTTTTCTTGTTCCAATAATTCTAAGAATATTATTTTCTTTATCAGTATGAAAAACTGAGTATAAAACATTAATTTAAATTAATGTTTTATACTCAGTTTTTCATACTGATAAAGAAAATAATATTCTTAGAATTATTGGAACAAGAAAAAGAGAAATTTAAATATCATTTCTCAAAAGTAGTCGATTTTTACATAGACTGATATCATCAAAGTATTTTGATTTTTTTTTTGATATAAAGCAAGAAAAAAATTTTTAAAATACATTTTCTTATACAGTTTGACGAGCTCTATCCAACCATATATAATACATTGGAAAAAAAGATTTATGCTAAAATTTTGAATTTCCCGCACCTTATAATAATACCAAGGAAATGTTTTATCATAATTTTGAAATGTTGGTGTATAATAAACAAATATAGCCATAATTACATCTAGAATTAATCTATTAAGAAAAATCATAATTATTTATTATTAAAAAAAACAATCAAAAATACGAAAAGTTTACCGAAATGGATATGATTTAATAAAAATATTTAATGGTTTTGTTCCAGTTGTATATTTTGATATAAGAAATGGTAAAATAGTTTATAATGGTGTTAATCGTATTGCTAGTAAAGCTAATGAATCTCTTGTAACACCACGTTCAATTAATTCTAATCCAGTCATTGCATCTGTTGCAGCAAAATCTATCTAGATAATAATTAATAATCAAAAACAAAAAAAAAACAAATCAACACATGAATTTAGTAATATATTATTTCTATCATACTTTAGCTGTTAATAAAATCACTGCAATAGATTGAGCTGATGGTAGGCGAAAACTTTTAAAAGAACTTTATATGTGTTTCGATAAGACCAAAATGAGGTTCATGTGGATCGTAATTTTCATCAATTTCATGTTTTAATAAAGCAATTAATGTTGTTGATATTATAAAAATGATTCCCCAGAATAGAAGAAAACCTATTCATAGAAAAAAAACAATTTCAATGAAAAGATATTTTACCATAGATCATTGATAAATTCTTCGAAAAATTTTTTGTATTATCTTACCAGACAATGTGATTAATCTAGTTGATTGTATTTCCATATTTAATGGTCACCGTATATAACGATTTGAAAAATCTTTCGATTCAAATGCAAGGAAAACAACATTACCCAAAAAATATCCAACTGCTTGGCCAACAGAAGTACATGTACTTGCCCAACCAACATTTTCTCTGTAACAAAAAAAAAAAATTATATGCAAAATTTTTTCTTTCATCCTGATAACTGACATAATGAATCTAAATAGTGATTTGGATAGAGAAACTTATTTTCTATAAAGAGTTAAGGAAAAATGAAATTCTCATCACTATTCACAAAATTTCATGGTCTTTAGAAAATTCAAAAAACGTAGCTTTTCAATACTCACAACCCCAAAATAAATTACACAGAATAATAAAACAACCGCTTCTCTAGAAAATGAGATTCTTGTCGAGATCTGCAAGACATTTTTCTACTGAACTACATCAGTTTAAAGAAACGTCTAAAAGTCTCCGTTGTTCAATTTTCCTACAGAAAATGGAGCAAAAAAACACAATTTTGAGCTTTTCTCAAATTTTGAACGTAACGGGGTGTAGATCTCGAAGACATTTTATCCTCTAGAGAAATAGTTACTATGTCATCCTGTGAAATCAAAAGAAACTTTTATTTTTGGGCCCTGAACGCTGATTGGATTTTTTAAAGAACACTCGGTTTTGAATAATACTGAGAGGACATTATTTGTTCCTCAAACCTTTATTGAAAAAAAATTGAAATCAAATCTGTATGATCAATGTTTGAAGTCGCTATATATTATTTACCTTGAAAGCATTGAAAGCGCCCAACCATCAGCACATATTGGGTTGATGCAAAAGTCTCCGCCGATTTTTTTTCTTTTCAGTTTTTTAAAATTTTATTGAAACAAAAGACTATCAATCAACAACGTATTCACCATTATTATCTACGACATACTCCCATCTCTTAGGCAAATCCATAATACCATCTTTGTAGAATTTCTTAGAAAAAGGCCGAAAAAAAGTTTCGAGGACCCATTTTAAGTGGCCTGGATCTTCGAAGTGTTTCTCGCGCAGATGATTGCGAAGAGAGCGGAACAGATGATAATCGGAAGGTACTGAGTCTGATGAATGTGGTGAATGAGGTAAGACCTGTCAGTCTAATTCCTTTAGCTTTTGAACGATGACCTTTCCAGTATAGGTTTGGTGTTGTCATGAGGCAGACGAACTTTGTGCAATTCTAGACGCTTTGTTTCCAGAGTGGCCGCCAAATTTAGGGGTTGTTTGCAGCAGACCTCGGCATCGACTGTGGTGTTATGAGGAAGAAGCTCGAAGTAGATTATGCCTTGAAAATTCCATCATTCCCTTTTTTGGGTGAAGGTCACTTTTTCGGCTCTGATCTTAGCAAATCTCTGCGACTGAGTCATTGGCGCTTGCATGTGTGGTTGAGGTAGAGGACCTACTTCTCATCAACAATGCCGATTTGCTAGAGAACCTCTGTCGGTTGCGCTTCGACAGCAAAGAGATACAGATAGTGACCCTTGCTTGGTGTTGTCCGAAGTCAGTTGGTGCGGAGCTCATGATCCAAGTTTACTGACTTTGCCTTTTGCTGCGATTGATGATCGATAGTAGAGTAGCTGTAGCCGAGCATGATTGACAACCACAGGCGGTTAGCCGCAGATTGTCTTCTACTAGGACTGTTAAATTACACTCGATGAAGCGTCCAGACCTGAGGTGACCTCAAGTTACACATCTCCTTTTCGTGACCTTTTCAACGAATCATGACATGTGCTTTCAGCAACTCTGTCTTCGCTGAGAGCAGCACAGATATTGCGGGCAGTGGCGCTTGCATTGTTGGCGAGTTGGCACTAATACAAAATACAGTGTCGAATATGAGTAGGAATTACGGACATTTTTTAATCTAAAATATTTATAATTGAGTATATTTGTTAATGTCGTTTTATAGCACTCATCAAGTGTTATAATATATACAAATGACAGGCATCAATAACATTCGGAAATGGTTTTAAAAGATTTCTAAAAAAATCGGCGGAGACTTTTGCATCAACCCAATACATCTTGAGTAGCAGCAAGAAATGATAGACCAAAAAGCATGAATGTAAGAAAATAAATATCTAAATTAAAACATACGTGGTTGATTATTTGTTGATACTTGTGTTGCAAGTAATATATCATTAATATGATATGGAAGTATAATCATAACCAATCCAATTATATATTGTACTGATATAAGCCATGTTTTTCTTCGACCATATCGTCCTATATATAATGCATCAATAATTGGTACCCAAAGAAGTTTAAGACTAAATGGCCAAAAAGAAAATGAAAATATTGCTTGTTAAGGCCAACTAGTACCGTATGTTTGAATAATTAATGGTATTGATCCAGCCATACCAAGTAGAACACATTGTAGTAGATAAAGGAATAAAAAAAGACTTATATTACATTTATCTTTTTTCCAATCGCTTCGTTTAGGTATGGATGCCATTATTAATGACGATGATGGAAGACTAACAGTGTCAATTATTGATTTATTTTCAATAAATGGTTGTCTTTGATTAGTATCTTCTTTGTTTACCGTTAGTTTTGTTTTTAATAGACATTGAAATGTCATTGTCGAAAAACCATTAAAAGAACCGTTGTTTTAAACAAAGAAGTATGTCGGTTAATGAATATTTATTCATTCATTAAAACGTATTCGTCACTGCTATCCAATAAATACTCAATTCATTTATTTGAAGAAATTGTATAATCGATAAAAATGATGAATTAATCAAACAAAATTAATCTTTTTAATTTATTATATTTTTTCTTATTGGCTCAAAAGTCACCACTATGAATCAGAGCGGAAATCTTGACGCCGTTGTTTTAATACTGCAACAAAAGTAACGTTGCCAAGATTTTCGCATAAATTGAATCAATAAAATTATAAGCGATCCAATCGTGATACATTAGATTTGCTTTTTGAAATGAGTCATATTCTATTTTATCGTAAATGGTTGATAACCAAATTTTAGACTCACAAGCATTACGAAACTGTTCTATACGGGAAACATTTTCGACTACATACTGTTTGCTAGACTGAAATGGTAAGGTCTAGAAATCGAAATTTATTGATGTTTGTCTCTACAATAAGATTAACTGAAGAGTAGTATGCCAAGACGAATGATATCAAATTCGTATACACTCCGTATTGCACTGAATAATATGGTATTTTGCTGTATCGCATAACTCACTGTTTACGACCGTATTTTTCTGTATACGATACAAAGAAATATGATCATTTACGAATGTATTTTGTCGACCTATAATGCTTTAGAAGTAACAATCTTTGCTATGAAATTGTTGAACGGTTTGATCGATTGTTCAATCCGATATATATCTCTCTGGCAAAAAATAGTTGCACACCGTATTTTTAACACATCATGACTATAATTTAACATTTTGAGAAAAATAATTATATATTCGGATAGCCGGCGGAGATTCTCTACAACTCTCTACGTATTCATTTTGAATTGAACTTGTTCGCTAAAAATAAATTGAAGCACAGTAAAGGCGTCCTCATCGTCAGATTCCCCAGGTATGCAGTTTTTGTTCCTTTTTCACGTATATTTTGAAAATAGGAATAAGTTATTACAAAAATAAATATATATTCTAAAAGCGCGTGAAATTCTCTATCATCCTCTACATCTACTCGTCTTGACTTGTGACTATTTGATGACAAATGTTTTGAGTATTATTAATGCATCCCGCACATTATGTTCCTAGACCAGCTGTCGTTCAGAATTCAGGCGATATCCCTGTGCAAAATCCTTTATCCAACACCAAACACTCAACAGTATCAAGATTAGGTCTGGTAGGTTGTTAATTATCCATAACACTTAGTTGGTTAGCAGATAATTGTTCATGGGTATGGGTGTGAGTAAGTTGGCTCTTCTCTCAGCCTACACCCACACTCACACCTCACCCAGACTCTTTTCTCAAAATGTTAATTTATAGTAATGATTTGTCAAAAATACTGTGTGCACCTTTTTTTATTGCAGGGGGATATATGAAAGAAGTAAATAGTAACATAATCTTATCAAATATAAATATTTATAAGAAGTTTATGCAGTATATACTTGATAACCCACATAGTATATGCTCTAAAAATAACTTTGCATACTCGCTTATTCATTCAAGTATATAATTACGACGATTTATATTCTAAAATAAGTAATTTATTATCATGTGAATAATTCAGCTTTTAAGAGCAAACGGTATAAATACATTAGAAATGATCGAAGCAATTTCATTCAATAAAATTCAACTTTTACAAGTGAGATATTTCTTCTATACAATAAGAAGTTATTCATCATTGATATAACTTTAATGTAAGTATCATTGTTGTATTGAGACAATCACTATCTTAGTTTGTGATATAACTAGGATTACTTGTAAATTTTTGAACCTACTATCAAATATGGGTTTACTGTCAAATAGTATTCTTTCGAAATATTACTATGAGTTACGCAAAAGCTGTACACAAACTTAAAATTGTGAATTGTTTGCTCGAAGATAAAAAATCTCACACTAAAACTTGTCTTGCACCTATTTGATGTTTTTCTCTTCGAACACCTAAACATGAATCACAAACAACTAACAGTTCTTTTTACATGATGGACAATGTCTAACATTTATAGCTTAAAAGATCAGCTCTGTTGACAAGAATTTTGAGATACTACTCAATAATCAAACCTAGAGAGAGACAGCTCAGCGAATAACAAGAATATTACATTCTAACCACCGCCAAGTTTAAATCCAAGCAAATAAGCCATGCATTAAGAGTGATCCAGATAGTCGTAAACAATCTATACGAAGCATTCGGTTACTTGTGCTTGCAATTAAGTTTAATTAAAGACGATTGAAAGAAACAATTCAAAATAGTATTTATTCTAAGGAAATATATTAATATTTAGAACAACTATAGATCATTGAAAACCTTGTCATCCTTTTGTTTTAAATTAGTCTAAATGTACAGCGAATCATTAGAATATGTTATGGATTAATTGATGAAAAATGATTTAACTCTATTTTTCAATTTCTTATATGTTATTAGATACATAATTCTACTTAGAACATACCAAAAGTAATGGTGGAGGTCCCGTAATTCCTAATAAAAAAGGTTTACAGAAATTTCTCTCAGTATAAGACATTTTCCGTTATCATTTGTGCTCGTTGTACTAGATCACAATGTCTGAGACAGGTTAGTTTTTAAACCCTTAATACATTTTCTTTTTTTGAAAACAATTACAATGAGCTTTACTATGCAGATTGTATAGCTTTTCACGCTGCATCTTATGGTATATTTCGGTTGTTAATACAACTGATAAGGAATTGAAAACTGCAACAGAAAACTTACTATGAGCACAAATGATAATGAAAAATTTATTATCATCATACTAGTTGAAGTATGATCAAATAGCATAGGAAAATAGAGCATTCTTTTCTCTATCAGACTATATAGAAAAAGAGTTTCTCAAAGATTTTTATGAAGGATTACCGAACCCCCGTCACTACTTTTGGTATGCACTAAGTAATATTTGATTTATTTTTATTATAGATTTTGTGAATAATTAATTAAATGGCTTATCTTGTTCTTTTGGCTGTCTTTCTCAGTCTTACTGTTTCCATGGTGTCTGGTGGAACTTTTGCTGCTTGTATAAATTCAAATGGTGTTAATTGTTTTAAACGTTCATGTCCCAAAGGAGATTGCTGTAACTTCAAGTCCGATATGAAAAATAACATGGCTAGCGGATGGGTTGACAATAAAGCTGGATGTACCATTTATTACAATTCCGGTTGTAAAGGAACCACTTATTTCATGAACAGTCTCACTTCGGTAAATCTTCCTGCATACATCAAAAACAATAATGCTGCTATTAGATGTTACTATTGATGTATAAGAGTTTTAATCAATTCATTTTGAACAGTTAAACTATAATTTTTTGTCATTTTTATTTTTAATAAAGAGACACCTCAGTTGTTTCCTCCATATGTGGCGGCGCTGGGTATAAAAACAATGTTTTTTTTTATTGCGGTGGCGGCGGTAGCGGTGGCACAGTGTATACATCTAAATATTAGTCTATAAAAATATCAAATGATTATGCAACTAGCACTAAAGATAACTATTGTAAATATTACTTGTAGATAAAAAACCCAAATAGGAATAAGTACCCAGATCATTTTTCCGTAGGAAATAGAGGGGTAAGCCAAAGAATCAAACAGCGGAGGCGGTTTTAATGTGCAAATTTTTTTCCATAGCGGCGGCGGCTAACAGCCAAAAAACGTTGTTGCTCCTAAAAGACGGAAAAATGAGCGATCTCCTGTGTATCGATGTCAACGGCGGCGGCGCCTCATACTATCATCAAAAAATTTTCGTTCGTGGCGGTGGCTCAGCTATACGGCTTACACCTTTAGTAGGAAATTAGTGGATACCAGGTTTCTAATCATACAATGGTCTATTTCAATTCTTTCTGAATTCAAAGCAAAAAAGCGGCACTTCATTTTTATGTGAAACGGTAGATAATGAGGCTAAGGATGAGCAGCCCCTTTTTGTAGTACTGCAGGGCTTGGTGGGCCTATAGTTACTACCTATATGTATTTTTGAATAGAGTGGCACTTGATGGATCTGTAACTAAAAGCAATACCTTTTCCTAAATATGGTGGGGTCTAGTGAATCTGTAGCTATTAGCTATACCTTTTTGAATACGGTGTGGCTTGATGGGTGTAGAAAGCCTTCAGCTAATAGCTATAGACCCACCAAGTCTCACAGATATGATGCTCTATATGGCTATTAGACAAATCAGATGAATTTCTAGAAAGCAAATGACTTTTGGCAAAATGGATCGGTTTCCGAAAAATACTATGTGTCGCTTGGAAACTAGGCGAGCTTGACAATAGTCATTTCCCTCCGGTGACACTCACATAAGCGAGGCAGGAAATGGAAATATACACAAGCGTAAATACACACAAGGCATCCCTTTCACTGAGGGTGGAGGAAGAGAGAGATCCACAAAGCATCGCTCTTACTGAGGATGAGGGCGATAACACGTCGACAAGACACCTCTTTCGCTGAGGGTAGGGGCGAAAAATCGTCCACGGGGCATCTTGAGGGTGTGGCGAAAGCACACGGGACGCCTTTCTAAAGTATTTGGGTTGTAACAATGTGCGTAGTTTCATTGATTACGGTTATTACAGCTGTCCTCGGAATAGGGTGTGGAGAGTGGGTGTGGGTGCAGCTGGGTGCGGGTGTTAGTGCCCGTCTAATCTTTAAACCCACACACCAACACGCACACCCACACCCATCCACACTCATACCCATCCACACCCACACCCACACCCACACCTCACACCCCTTGGCATCTCCCAGCATCTCCCTACACTTCTCCAGCATGCCTGATATTCTGGATATGTGACACCACTCCTCCCATTATGCTCCTGAGAAATCTGGATGCACCAAGACTATGCAATGGCACACGATTATGTGTTAATAGTCTGATGCCTCATGTTATTGAAGCAACCATCATAACAGGCTGCGCAACGTGCGAGGCTGTATTCATATCACGAATATCCATCATTTCTTCTGATATGCCCTTTGAATTCAAACGTCTGCAGTGTCCAGTGCGTCTTGCCTTTGCAGTGTCCATCAATAAAGCTCAAGGACAGTCCCTTAAGGTTACTGGCATAAACCTAGAGACTCCTTGATTTCGCATGGTCAACTTTACGTAGCGTGTTCAAGAGTTAGAACAGGGAAGAATTTGTATGTCTTTGCCCCTGCTGCGAAAACTAAAAACATTGTGTATCAAACAGCTTTCCAATAAAAACTGTATTTCCATGCACATAGTTCATCTTAAATTTTCTAATATGCATATTAGAAAAAAAAAGCATGCGATGGGTGCAACGAGCTGTGGAAAATTTGATATATACATATTTTGTTCGTTCTGTTTCAATTTCGATCCCCTCGACACCCATCGAATTTCGAGAACTCGGACACTGTGTCGTATCGACGATTCATTTTCGACTCGTCGTATATATTTCGACACCTCGGCACTCATCGAAGTTTCGAGTACTCCGAGAGAAGGCACCTATCGAAATAATACTACCGACTCCTCTAACACATTTTAGTCACTCGACTAAAACAAACATATTGAAAAGATCATTTTGAGTGCTTCAAAAGAGTAAAACCGATCATAATAACAGTTTTGATAGAGGAGTCTATAATCTTGATCATGTGAAACTTCAAAATCCGATTTTAAAATATTCTTTATTTTTATTCAATAGTTTTAGTAGAATTATTCGAGTTTGCTTCATAATTCACCTTAATTTTAGAATTTTCTGATCAAAATTGATCGTCCACCGATTGAAACTAAAACTAAACTTCGCCTGCTTTTTTGACTACGACAGCAATAATGCAGGTCCACGTTGTGAATTTTAAAAAAATTATTAAATATTGACCTCATACTTCCACGTGCAAATTGATCGATTATCTCATATTGCACGTCATATTTATTCCATAAGTAATTTATACGGAATCTTAAATAAAAAAAAAGTTCTTGTGTCACTTACAGCGATATAAAAAGTTTTCTTTCTTGATGAAATTTTTTTCATGATAAAAAAATATAATTTTTAGTGTTCAAAAAATAATCTTTTTTCTGGATGAAAAATATTATTTCTAATGTTTAAAAGAAAATTTTCTCTCTGGACACAAAGTATTATTTTCAGTTTTCAAAAAATAAAATAAAAAAGCACGAAAAAACAATAAGTACTATCTTTTTATGAATTAAAAAGGTCGTTTTGATATAAGAATAATAGTTCATATTTAGCTCAACTGTTCGACGAAAGTGAATCGTAAGTACCCATGTTCAAATCTACTTCTCCGCATATGTTCGATAGGTTTCGACGACTCGAAATTTATATATGATGGGTTTGGACAACTCGAAATTGAGACATCTATCGGATAAAAATTATTTTTTTTCGATGAAATTCCGATCCAGCGGAAACGATTATTCGAGTGGTTGAAAATTGCTAGTAAAAACAACCTATCGCCAAGCCCTCGACCCATCGGAAAATGGCACTTCCAGGGGTCGATTTGAAATTTCGATGCCCAACGGAAGCCAAAACCGACGCATCGAAATACCTATCGAATGGTTGCTTGACATGTCAAGAATACAATATCGAATTTTCCCGGGCAATGCCGGGTACTTCAGCTAGTTCATCATAAATTTACACAACATTCCCTTTCTTCGATATAGAAGTTAGATAGAGTGCTACATAAAACCTATGCTTATAATGAACTCTACACTTTAGAAACAAACAATTCTTAAGTAAAATGATTTTACTTGATTTTCTTACAGATTGTCACAGCTATAACGTCAAAAGTGAGGTTTACTGTATCTTTTTCCGAATTTTTAAAATGAAACAGTATAACTATATACAGACAAATTTAAAAAGCTGTCCTATATAACACCTTATTCTCTTAATAGAGCAAATATTTCTTGTTCAAGATTTGAATCCAACATAAATTATATTAACAGCTTTTGGTTTTAGACTTATCAGCTCTCTATTTATTTTCAATTCTAAAACACATATTTCATGTTATATGGTATCAAATAACTCGACTTTGAGCTATTATTCCGAATTTTTGTTTTTCTATAAAATAACATTTTTTTTTATCAGTCCTGCATTATCATGTGTGATTCTTCTTGTACATACATAGTTGCGAGTCTTTTCAATCAAATATGAAATAAATCTTGTCTCTATTTTAATACTTTTATTCTACATAAATCAATTTATTTTACATAAGCATTGATAATAATCGATATTTATACATTGGAAAATAGTCTTTTGCATAGTTAGGAAGTCGACGACCATTCAGACATAAAGAACCCAGTTTTGCACAATTGATTCGTGTTATATCTCTTGTAAAATTGTGTGTCACTCTGTTTAGTTGTTCATAATCAATGTTAAGATGAACATCATTATCCGGTAAACATACTTTCGTATCAACCAGAAATTCTTCGATATAATCATCATGAGCAAAGTAAAGTGTAAGATTAGTAAGATAAGGATATTTAATGATCGAAAAATCTTGATTGTCATTCTCTGATTCTCTGTATAGTTTGTTATTTTGTGGCTTAGAATTTTTTAAAGAAAGTATTTTCAAAATTGGAAATGATTCAGCAATTCGAAGAAAAAATTTATGTTCAAAAGGACGTTCATCATATAATGATATTTTACGAACACATGTAAATAAGACACCTGGAAAATTATTTGTTACAGTATAATAATATTTTAATTGGCCAGGATACAAATAGATATGACATAGACTATATGGTTCTTCTTGGAAATAATCAACATAAGAAATAACTTGATCATCTTTTTAAAATCTCTGAATGTATGTTGAATATCTTCTTTTGATGGTAGATAAATTTGATTACGAAGATAAATGCCTGAGCAAATATAAAATTCGAATCTCTCTAATCGTGGCACATGATTAATAATATTTTGCTTCAATTCATTTCCATCAATAAATGTATTTGTCTCACAAATAACATTCAAACAGAGTTTTTCTAAATTCGACATTCCTTGTAGAAATGGTACAATTAATTTATTATAAGCATCTGTTGGCATTCCACAATATAGCGAAAAACATCTTAAATCGGGTAATTTTTCCTATAAAAACCATATAATAAATTTGTTCGAAAAAATTCAATATTAACCAAAATATTTTACCTTATTATTGTTTGTTAAATCCGAAGAGGAAATGAAATCGGTATCAACATACAGTGTGTGAAGTTTATTGAAACGCCCATCAAGTATATAAAGACAGTCAGAGAACCGTTTCAAACAGATATGCAATTCTAAGAGAGTTGAAGAGTTAATACTTGGATATGGATTGTAAAACAATAATCGTTGATTCCGAATTGAAGATGGACAAAAATTTAAATATTGTAAATTAGAGAACATTGTAAAAATATGTGTAAATATACGTATATTCGCATCGCTACTTGAAATTATTTTTTCATATTTAGTAATATCGACCACAAGCGACGAGATTTGATTTTTATTTATAGAAGTTAAACAAGATTCGTCTAAATAAAAAAAAAGTACTAAGTCAACAAAAAACATATTAGATTTTATCTTCATCATTAAATCTATGCATTTATTCTTTTTAACAATTCTGTAATGTATATGTGTGTTCTTTTTCTTTGAAGTTCTTTAGAAATGATATTGTGTTTTATTTCAGTCATTTATTTTATTCTATGCCTTTCTTACAGAATCAATATTTAAGATTTCAATTAAAGGCACAAGAGAATTTTATTCAAATATTGCTTTAATTATAAATAATTCCTTGTATCGTTTTTCTACGACTACTTTTCCTCGAATTTATGTTTGTCAGTTTGTATCAGTACAGTACAGAAATATTTTATAAGAAAAAAATGCGTAATGATCTAAATCTATTTGTATAAATTAGATATTCGACATCATTTTGATTTTTGTATGTATTTTTTGTTAATTAATTCTCGAAAGAATTGAAGAAAATATCTTACCAATAAAGAGAGACAGAACTGTTTCTATCTCAATATCATATAAACCAAGTCCAAATAAATTCGGATAATTTGTAGCAAGAAGAATACGTTTCATAGATGATGATTCAAGATTAAGCCATTGAATTTTATGATGAATTTCATGTAAGATTTGTAAACAAAATCGATCAAGTATTGGGTCAGGTAATGAATCGATGGAATCATCTGAGAAACATCTCATCAATGTTAAGTGACTTGTAAAAATTGGATCGTGTACAATTGTATTGAGTCGTTTATTAACACCTATTAAAGAATAAAGTATTTGGACATTGTATAATTTTTTCAAAATAATCATAAGAATCTCATCAGGTAAGTCATTTAATTCCACCGATGAATGTTTCATATTTATTTTCACTGATCTATTCTTCCCGTTTATAAATATGAATATATATATATGCTCATTTTCTCTATTTGACCGATGTCGTCAGTGAAAACAATAAGACATATGTGTATAATCAGAACTGACAACGAATGAATAAATGGGAAAAGGGAGTGGGTGTGGGAAGAGGCAGGCCACACCCACACCCCACACCCTTAGCGCTGGTAGACAAAAAGTTATTAAAAGAAATAAGCCCGCCTTTATTATTTGCGAGCTTTTCAAAAACAGCTTTTGATAGATCTTGTCCTCGAAAGACTGTGAAGATCTTTCCATGATCGTGGCTGATCTGATTTTTGTAAAAAGCTTCAATATGACGGTGTAAATCGCATAATAAAAGGCCCATTCAAATCATCATATCGCCGTTGAGTGTCCGTAATGCCCGATTAAGCAGTTTGTACGCGAAGCTCTCATGCGTATACTACCAAATGGTCTTTGTTGTGTGATCAGTACGTTCAAATTGTTCAATACTTTTCATTTCCTTGATGTTGTCTTTATATTCTTCTCGACAAAACGTGATGAAGTCTTCGAAATCTTGATGACTATGTTGCATCTCAAGCAACATTTCCTTGAATATTTGTGAGTACATGAAAGAAGGTTCTAGCTCATCTGTATTTTTGCTAGAACCTCCTTCATTAGGACTGATAATGCTCACCGATATATTGTCTTGGTTGCATTTTTTGCGATAGCCTTTGTCAACTTTTCATATATGTGATTGATAGGCGTGTGTACACCTTGGGTTTTTGTCCAATTTTGAGCCCATGTTTGATGCCATTGTTCGTTACGGCAAAATATGTATATGGTGTTTAATTTTGCCATGTCATGGATTCTTGGTACAAGATGTTGTTCTATTGTACCAGAGGGGATGACAAATGAGATCTCCTCTTGATTTTCAGTGAGTTGTTCAATGCATTGTTCAGCTGTTATACATTAAAACCCAAATAACCAAGTAATCTTCAGCAATGCGTCGTCTTGGTTGTCGACTCATTTTAAATGTAATGGTTATTTTGCGATTGGTAATTGTATATTATGAATAATAGATGGTTGCTTGGGCATAGTTTACCTTTTTCATGTATACATTTGATGCACATTGCTTTTTCCTATATTTTTCTCCCACGTCAAAAGTGTGTATTTTGGCTTTTTCCTGATACTCAGTAAGAAATTAAAGAGAAAAAAACCACCAAGGTCATCGATCGTATGATAATTTTTCCCACTTTCATTTACATTTAATGCGTAGCGTGACTTAAGTTTGACTGCATTATTACCCTGCCTAATACATTGTATATTTTGTTTTCCTCTTTTTAAATACAATGTAAGTGTGCTTTTTTTTCTTATTATGCATATGATGCACATGCTGATAATGTAAACGAAACAATACTAAACATAATTTAAGCTTCAATTACGGCAATAGTTAAACAATGAGTTCTACTTGCCGAATATAGTGTTAATTATTAAAGAATCATCATAGTAATGGTTAATTTAGACTTTAAATATTGAGATAGTAAACGAGCAAAACTTTATATCAATTATCATCCAAATTCCATCTAGAAACGCACACAAGCTTCTCTCAAATAGGTATTGCAATAATTTAAGAGATGCCTAATTATAGATATAGGCTGTAGTCTGGTCGCATTCAGAGGAAATACATCATCACTCACAATCTTGCTAAAGTCATTTTTGACTTATATTTATTCGAAAATATGTGTTTAAGAAAAAGAAATTTTGTTTTCTTGTATTATATTAGTTGCTGTTTTTTTATTAATTTCTATGATTTATTTAGAAATCATATTCAAATTTTGTTTATCCATATTTAAAACTCATAAAACTTAAACGGATGTGAAATTGACAATGAGAAAAACTCCTGTTGTATACAAACATGCATTTATTGATAGCTATTCTTTGTTTGTATGCGTGTGAAAGAGAATCATATATGTTTCATGTAACTGAAAAACAATGAGAAGAATCTCTTATAGCGTTTCAGTTAACACTGATGGAGATATAGAAGACATGAAGCATTCTTTCTTAATTCAAAAGCAAAAATAAGCCAGCATCACATTACATGTTTGATGTTTGTGTTCAACTAGAGAAGAGCAATATTATCAATGCTTGCCTGAATCATTCTATTTTTTTAATTTACATAAATTTATATAACAAATACATAACAAAAACGTTTTCTACAAAGGGTGAGGGTGTGGGTGTGGGTGGAGGAAAGACAGAAGAACCCCCACAGCCACACCCCACACCCACCCACACCCACACCCACACCCACACCCCACACCCACACCCCACACCCACACCCTCACACCCACCCACATCCACCCACACCCACACCCTTAAGATGTCTTAAGCCACCTGAGGAGTCCCTTGAGCAAGGACGAAACCGGTCGTGGTACGCTCTTCTAAGTTGTAGATCTTTTATTTTTACTTTTATCAACACGACAAAAATCCACCCACTTACATATTTGTTATTATCATTTACATCGATATTGCGTACACTCTAAAAAAATAAGGTAATCTTATCGAACACTCCAAAAAGGTTTCGGAGATGTCTAAAAGCTTCCAAATGCGCTGAAAGGTTTAAAAACACGATTGCTAAAAACTACGAAACCTTAAAAGGATCTGACCGCGGGCACACGGTTCGAACTATCTGCTACGAAATCTTTTTTAAGTTCCGTACAGCGAAAAAAGGTTTTGTATTTTATTACGAAACCCGTATAGTTTCCTACGGACACTTCTAGTTTCGCACTATGGTTTTATACGAAACCAACAGGTTTAGTAGGAAACTATAAAGGTTTCGTAAGAAAATACAAAACCTTTTTTCGCTGTACGGAACTTAAAAAAGGTTTCGTGGCAGACGGTTCGGACCGTGTGCCCGCAGTCAGATCCTTTTAAGGTTTCGTAGATTTTAACAATCGTGTTTTAAAACTGTCGGCGCATTTGGAGGCTTTTGGACATCTACGAAACCTTTTTGGAGGGTTCGGTAACATTACCTTATTTTTTTAGAGTGTAGGTAATATTTAAAAAAATTTTTTCAGCATTTTCATCGAAGAAATCTTTAAAAAAACCAATTCATATATCAATGTCAGAACAAGGTCGTTTTTTTAATAGAGTAAATAATTTCTAAGAAAAAAAAATCTCAGAAAGATTAAAATAAATTAGAATATATAATATTAATGAAAAGAAAATAAATATGCATAAGAGAATTTTGATCTTGAATATGTCATATCTCATCCTATTTCTTTCTTTCTTGATAATGAATTTAAATTATAAATTAGATTGAAAATCTAAAAATAGTTTAAAATCTGATTTGAAACGATAAGTATTGAGATGTATTTAACAAATCATATAAAGATACTAAACTTTAATATAGATATATTATGCAAATAAAAAAGAATTTCGTCTTTTTCATTCTCTCATCTTTAGTTAATTGACATAGATTCAATATTAGTGTATTCTTCTATATTTACGAAAATAAATGAGATTTTTGCTGTTATTGAATACGAGTTTATAAACATAATTAATAAAATATTGTTTACATTTCTCTTCTTTCTTTTGTTCTATAAATTGAGTTGATATTAAAAAGAAATTGAATATAACTACATTTATCTATGAAGATTATACAAAGAGGTAACCAGTTTATTGTAAGAATAGTTCCTATTCTAACAATTGTATAACAAAAGAAAGAAAGATCTAAACTTTATGTTGTTTGTATATGTTTTATCCATAAATTGTTATAATGCCTGTATACACTGATTTTTTTATAGCAAGAATGAAACAATTGAAAAAAGCAAAAGGAAGAAAGAATAAAATCTATCTATTTCATGTTATTAATTGTTTATTCGACTGTTCCATAGACTGATTTATCTCTGCAAATAAAAATTAACATATAGATATAAATTTATTGAAATAATGATGTTTTTCACAAGTAAGTTGATGAAAAAAGAAAAATAATATCTGATCAAGTTGAATAGCAAGGAAAAAAATCAACAATATCAATAGAGAAGAAAAAATAGAAACAAAAAAAAACAAAAGTATCATTATTATGATATACCAATAACATAAACACCAAAGATTGAACCTTCAAGTTTTGATGCCATAGTTGTACTTTTGATATATATCTGTTTGGGTTTTCTATTTTCAAGCATTTTTACTTGTGGTCGTTCATTTTCTGTTCGATAAACTTTTTCAGCATTCTTACAAACAGAACCGCAAAAAGCATCTCGTCGAAACATATGTGGATATTCTGCAAATCGACGACGACATAATTTCACAAAGTTACTCCATTCGAGAGGATTACTAGATTCTTCTGCTGTTTCATTTAGCTCTTGTACATTAAACTGATGATACTCAATATCTCGAATTTGAAAACAAATAACACCACCACATGTTTTACTTAGTGCTGATTTGCTCATTGCTCTGTGCAGAGTATCTAAAAAGTTAGCAAGAACCCATCATATATATTTAATAAATTCAAAAAACTTACCATCAAAATTGTCTGTCACATAAAATCCTGGTCCAAAATCGTAACCAAGACGATGAGATGCGTTATCGTTCAATAGTGGTGTACAATTTATCCAATAAATTTTTTTTCTGTTCTGTCTTTATATATATATAACACAATAGGGGTGTGTGTAAACTGCACTTGAGGGTGGGTGTGGGTGGGTGTGGGTGTGGGGTGTGTGGGTGTGTGGATGTGGGTGTGGGTGGGTGGGGTGGGTGCGGGTGTGGAGGTATGAATGGGGTGTGAGGGTGTGGGTGTGGAGGTGTGAGTGGAGTGTGAGAGTGTGGGTATGAGTATTTGTGTGAATAAATATATGACCCACACCCACCCTCAAGTAAAAGAATATTTTTCTAATATGAATCGTCATCATATTATATTTAAATATGATTCAATAAAAGATGATTTAGTTATACAATTAGCATTTACTAGTGCATTAAGTGATGATCGTAAAGATTGGATTAAATGGCATACAGAAGATGTTAATCAACGACGTGGACAAAATTTACCAGATGATTATTTATAGAAAAAAGATACAAAACAAATTAATTTTAATGATTTTATCAATAAAGAACTTGTTCTTTTTTCCAAATCAAGTACTGAACATGCAATTCCAAGTATTATGCTAAATTAATAAGAAATAAAAATATCTTCTTTTTCCTTTAAATTCTTATTTTTAAAGGATGGCCTTAAACCTGGCCAACGTAAAATAATCTTTGTTTGTTTTACAAAAAATTTAATACGTGAAATAAAAGTTGCACAATTAGCTGGTAAAGTTGCGAAAAATTCTGCTTATCATCATGGTGAACAATCATTAACAAATACAATTGTTGGTCTTGCACAAAATTTTGTTGGTTCAAATAATATTAATTTTCTTGTACCAGCTGGTCAATTTGGTAGACTTTTACATGGTGGTAATGATGCAGCTTCAGCACGTTATATATTTACTCGACTTAGTCCTCTTGCTTTATTATCATTTAATAAAAATGATGAACCATTATTATCATATTTAAATGAAGATCGTATCAGTATTCAACTTGAATGGTATTGTCCAGTTATTCCAACTGTTCTTGTTAATGGTGCACAAGGTGTTGGAACTGATTATTCAACTGATATACCATCTTATAAACCATTAACATTAAGTAATAATATGAAATATTATATTCGACAAGAAGATGAACGACAACGACAATTAAATAATCCAACAAGTCAACCAAAACAGTATCCAGATGTAATTACATTAGAAGAATTAATTCCATGCTATAAAAATTTTACTGTTGAAATAAAATTATTAGATAATGATCGTACGTGTGGTGTTATTAATGGTGTTTGGTCTAAACTTGATGAAACATCTATTGAAATAACTGATTTACCAATTGGTACATGGACATAACAATATAAAGAATCTGTTCTTGAAACAATGCTTCATCCAAAACGAAATGATATTGCACCAACTACTCTTAATTATAAAGATAAATATCAATTTGCAAAAAAAATAATTTTATTCTTTTCTTTTTTCTTGATTAGAATATCATACTGATACAACCTTTCGTTTTGTTGTTAAATTATCACCAGTACAATTTGCTAAATTTAATGAATTCGATCTTCATAAAAATATTTGTTTACAAGAAACATTTAAAATTAACATATATGTTTCATTTTGATCATAATAATAATTTCTATTTCATTTTTGTATATAAATTTCTTTTTTTTAAGATTTAAAATCAATGCCCTTTATGTCGGGAGACACAATTATTTTATCATCACTTTTTGTGCTTTATAAAAAAAATGAAAGATGAATTAGATAAATTTATTATTACAACACATTATTGTTTAATGAAACAGGGTTTTACTGTTCAGGATGCTATTGAAGGATCAGTAGGATTTTTCTTTTTGCCTTTTATTTTATATATTTTAGTTTTAGGAAGGGGTTTTGCAATTTAGCAATCGTAATTTTAATATGTTGGTCGTCAGTTACCAAAAAGGCGTGATATTATTAACAACAATGCATACATTTAGTGAATATGAGAATAGTTATCGATTAACACTTAATGTAATATTTTACGAATATAATTCTTATGAAAATGTTTTCTATTCAGATTAATCACCAATTGGGTGGTGTGGGTGTGGGTGTGGGGTGTGGGGTGTGGGGTGTGGGGTGTGGGTGAGTGTGGGGTGTGGTGTGTGGGTGTTGTGTTTAAGTCCGCCGAAGCTTAGACGCAAACGCAGACTCATCCACACCCACGCCCACATCCACACACCCACACCCACCCTCACACCCACCCACACCCATACCCACAACCACACCCACTCACCCCACACACCCACACCCACACCCCACACCTACACCCCACATTTACACTCACACCCACACCCACACCCACACCCACACCCACACCCACACCCACTCACACCCACACCCTTACTGATGATATTTGCTTTTCGTCATGATTTGTCTTACAGTGTAACATCAGTGGCTTATTATGTACATCGAATTGGACGAATAAATGATCTTTTTAAATTACATATTAGTAGAAATGAATATGGTTTATTTCAATTAGACGTGAATAATTGTTTTATCGATTTTTGTTTAAAAGATAGTAAGATTTTGTCTTTCTTTTTGTTTTACAATTTTAATTGTATTGTCATAGTTGAAGGAAATCTACTTCCACATAAAACTGAACAAAATTATAATGAATTAAGTATATATATTCTTTTTGATGAATTTCATTCATTCGATTTTTCAATTTTATAGAGAAAATGGCTGAAGATTTACAACAACGTCTTGAACAATGTCAAAAAGAAAATGATGAAATGAAAAAAACAATTGCAACACTTGAAAAAAACGTTCGTTATTCTTTTTCAATATGTATAAATAAATGATAAACTCTTTTAGATGCGTGATAAACAAAATAAAGATATTATTCCTTGTTCCACAGCTCATGAGGATCAAGGAGAGGTAAATGCATTCGATTCTATATTTATTTAATTCATTTTATGCGAGTTAGGCGCACATTACAATGACAGAAGACTTTGATCAAGTAAATCTCAAGTAAGAATTTGAAAAATTTTCATATTAATTAATATTTTTATTACAAAGATACAGAGCTTTATTTTTACTGTTTGTAAAATTTAATTTCAATTACGGTTATCGATATTTTCCAGGAATAGAAGGAGCTAACATTTTTTGATAGACTGTATGATGCTATTGATCAGAATTATACTTTCTGGGACTTGGATGAGATCCGATACTCTCTACACATAGAATCAGTGTCGATTTTATTTCCATCTTTGAGATAGATTTAGTCAAAATCGATATCAATATATATTAGAAAAGTATTTGTTCTAGGTCCCACGATAGTCAAGATTATACTATTCATCGTCCTATTCTTGATACACATACATCAAATGAACAAAATCCTTTATTAACTGCATCTGTACAAATTCCTAAAGAAGGTGTTACGATGTATTCTTATTACATACACCTCGATTCTATCTATTCTCTTTTCTTTATATTTTCGTTTCCATTCTTTTCTTTGACCTTGTTTAACCTTTCTATTCTTTCTACTTTTGTCCTTGTTTTTCATGTACGTATATAAACGTTTGTTTTCTTAAAGAATAAACAGAGAAAAGAAAACATATACATATATCTTTAACAGTGTTCGTCGCTCTTCGCGAGCGTGAACTCTAACAGAAGGTACAGCAAATGATTCGACTGAATATGGATCTGAACGAAGAGGTAATTTTATTTTTTCAAATCAAATATTTTTGTCTAAAAAAAACAAACTTTTTTTTCAGAATTTGGTGATTTTGGTTTATATAATGCTAAAATTAATATTGAATTAAAAATGAATCATGATGTTGAAGTTAATCGTGCTAGTTATATGCCACAAAATTCATCATTTATTGCAACAAACTCTTCATCAGCTGTTGTATTAATAGGATGTGGGTGTGGGTGGTGTGGTGTGAGTGTGGATGGTGTGGCTGTGGGGTGTGGGTGTGGGTGGTGTGGGGGTGAGTGTGGGTTTGAGTGGAGTGTCTGGGGTTGGGTGTGGGTCTGGATCTTCAATCGATCCAGACTCACACCCATTCTCACACCTACACTTTCAAATCAAGATTTGTCGCATGAGTATCTTTTGCAAAAATGGAATAGTCCAGCTTAGCCCACACCCTGAACTGGGAGCCAGACTGAACGCAGTCCATTCGGAGCTTCTAGAAGAGACGGGTGTGGGTGTGGGTGTGGGGTGTAGTTGTGGTTGTGGGTGTGGGTGTGGGTGTGGGTGTGGGTGTGGATGTGGGTGTGGGTGTGGATGTGGGTGTGGGTGTGGGTGTGGATGTGGGTGTGGGTGTGGGTGTGGATGTGGGTGTGGATGTGGGTGTGGATGTGGGTGTGGGCGTGGGCGTGGGTGTGGGTATGGGGGGTGGCTGTGTGGCTGTGGCTGTTGCTGTGGCTGTCGCTATGGCTGTGGCTGTGGATGTGGATGTTAGAACTTGTTTCATTCACACACACCCACCCACACCCACACACCACACCCACCCACACCCACACCCACCCACACCCACACCCACACTCACACCCACGCTCACACCCACACTCACACCCACACCCACACCCACCCACACCCACACCCACACCCACACACCACACCCACCCACACCCACACCCACACTCACACCCACACTCACACCCACACCCACACCCACCCACACCCATACCCACACCCACACCCTAAAAATATGATCTCATATAAAATCTGAGCAGTATCAATTGAAAGGACCAGAAGAAATTATTCATGTAATTTTTAAGCGATCTCTTCTATGTCAAACATTTTTTATTTATTGTAAAGATCGTATGTGAAAATTTTAATATTTAGAACTCAAGTTTTTTTCTGTTTAACTACAACAGTTAGAAAATATTTATTTTCATTGGTTTTCCTCTGGAAATGAACGATCTATCTGTTTGACTATCAAACTATTTTTCATATCTTCCACATGTTAATTTTGTCACCAAAAACTAAGAGATCGACGTATACAAATCAGATGATTTTTCTTTGCACGGTAATTTTGTGCAAAAAAAACTTGTGTAACGTGAGGTATTTAAATTGTTTGTAAAAGCACGCAAAATTGCCTTTTTTCTCTCTTTCTTTCCAACGTCCTTCTAACACGTTGCCTATTATAAAAGCAAATCGAGGACAACTGCATGCATAGGGAGCATGACGAAGCAATATGTAGATAGAGACGGAGAAAGAAAAAAAAACGGACGCATTAAGGCGGCTGTTGCATTTGTTGCTATTACTGCCAAAGCAAGCACACATCGAGTCAGTGTAAAGCATTACTTTCCATCATGTCTAGAGCTGCAAGTGCAACAAAATCCGGACCAACAGCAGCACAACCTGCTTCAACTAACAAAACACGAATTCACGTTATTTACTATTCAATGTACGGTCATATCGCAACAAGTAAGATTAAATATAATACATTGAAAAGTAAATTCATTCTTTACGTTTTTTTTCGCAGTGGCTAAATCTGTTGTGAAAGGTGTTCAAGCAGCTGGTGCTGAAGTTAGTCTAATGCAAATACCTGAAACATTATCACAAGAGGTTTTAAATAAAATGCATGCACCAGAAAAAGATAAAAGTGTACCAACAATAACATTTGGTGAAGTTGGCGAAAATACAGTAGGATTAGAAGATGCATTAACGAATTGTGATGGTATTTTATTGGGTATGCCAACTCGTTTTGGTGGTATGCCAGCTCAAGTTAAAGCTTTCTGGGATGCTACCGGTGGATTATGGATGAAAGGCGGATTAGTTGGTAAACCAATTGGTGTGTTCTTTTCAACCGGTACACAAGCTGGCGGGTACGAAAATAAGTTTTTTATATTAGCATTAGAAGACAATATTTCTTTTTGTCTGTAGACAAGAAACAACGGCATTAACATCATTAACAAATTTTGTTCATCATGGTATGATTTTTGTAAGTATTGATCTTTCTTATTACTATGTTTGTGATGAAGTTTTTATAACTGTCCTTTTTTGAAATAGGTACCAATTGGTTATTCATGTCCCCTTCAAACAAATATGAGTGAAATCCATGGTGGTAGTCCATACGGTGCCGGTATGTTTATTTCATGCGTGTTTGTTTTTGTTTATTCGAATATATTTATAGGTACTCTTGCTAGTTCTGATGGATCACGTCAACCAACTCAACTTGAATTACAAAAAGCTGAGTATCAAGGAACATATTTTACACAAGTAGCAACCGCATTAAAGATTGGTCGGGCTGCATTACCACCAAAAGATGCTACTACACCTGATTCAAAACAAGATGCTGAACAATCAAAAACTGAGCGACTGCCATCAGCAAAAAAATAAGCTAATTTTAATGGCTATCTAGACTGTTTTTCTTTTGAATTTAGTTTCTTTCACTTCTTTTTAATAAGTCCTATGTCGAATTAAAACTCTAATTAATAGAGCCTATGAAATAAAGATTTTAATATCTTAATAATCTACATTTTGACGTAAGACTGCTGTGACATTTCACATTATTAAGAATGCTTGTTTTCAACATCCACTTACTGATCGATAACATTATTTCAATTTAATTTCGATTTGTTATTGTCATATTCAGTTCTTTAGTGCTGATACAAAATAGTCTATAGCTATCGACAAAGAAAAAGATGTTGATTGTATCCCTTTTGATAATAATAATAGATGGTGGCTTTCCTTCTTTTTCAGGTCATTAAATTTAAAAAAATGAGATAACGAAGCAACACTCAGCATAATGAACAATTTTCATTGTCTAAAAGAGTGTGGGTGTGTGTTGATGTGGGCGTACCTATGATTTAAAAGTTACCCAAACCCACACCCACACTCATACCTACCCACACCTACACCCACAGCCACGCACCATACCCCACACCCGTCAAGAAAAAAAAAGGGAAAAGAGATGCATTATTCATTACAATAACACCTACGAAAACGATTATATTGATTAAATCAAATTTGACTTTTTCACAATAGTAAATATAAAGAACGTAAATGAGAGAAATTAAAGAAAACTAATAAATTGAATGAGCGAAAACGTGCATCGAACAACAGTTTCATGTAAGAAAAAAACCTGTAAATGAATATAAACTACTAGAGTCATGTATATTTATTTTTCCAATGAACATTATATGTGCATATTTTGTCTATTGTTAACTAAGGGAGCGTTTCAAAATATATTCCGGTCGGTCTGTCGTCGTTCCTTCATTCCTTCATTCCACCATTCCGCTATTCCACTATTCCTATATTCCTTCCCCATTCCACCACTATTCCTCTGTTCCGCTATTCCTATATTCCTTCCCCATTCCACCACTATTCCTCTGTTCCGCTATTCCTATATTCCTTCCCCATTCCACCACTATTCCTCTGTTCCCTTATTCCCCATTCCTCAATTCCTTCATTTATCTATTCTTTTATTTATTCTTTTCCCTATATCTCTATTGCAGAACATTTGACTAATGTACCGCCTTCTCGTTCAAAAGTGAACTTTTTCTTTTATTTCACATCTTCAAAGATGATTAATCACTCTTTGAAAGTATTATTCACTCATCAAACTATCGATTGCCAATCAAACTCAAAAATGCTCGTTCTGCATAGATAAATTTCAGTGTGAAACTATTTGAGTGTGCATGAATAAAAAAATTTTCTAATTAAAAATGCAAGCGTATCATTTTTTTTTAAGCGGTCTTCAATAACTTAAACTGGTCATATTCATTAGTCTTCATTTACTAATCAAATAAGATAAAGACATAAATGTCAACAGTTAAAATTACGGAAGACCGCTTCGAAAAAAAATGATACGCTTGCATTTTTAATTAGAAAATTTTTTTATTCATGCACACTCAAACAGTTTCACACTGAAATTTATCTATGCAGAACGAGGGTGTGGGTGTGGGTGTGGGGTGTGGGTGTGGGGTGTGGGGTGTGGGGTGTGGGTGTGGGTGTGTGGGTGTGGCTGTGGCTGTGGCTGTGGCTGTGGGGGTGGCTGTGGGGGTGTGAGAAGAGAAGACCCACACCCACACCCGCACCGATGCTCACACCCACACCCCACCCACACCCACACCCACACCCACACCCACACCCACACCCACCCACGCCCACACCCACCCACACCCACACCCACCGACACCGACACCCACACCCACACCCACACCCACACCCTATTTTGATGCAATCTCCATAGAAAAACCAGTAATTGCATCTACCACAATTATCTCATATATCAAATGAAAAATAACTTATCTTACTTTTTGATGATTGGTTATATTGTGATGAATGTTGGTTTTTTCAAATAAAAAAAACTTAAAAGCTCTTTTCCACGAAATGCTATGCAAGCGACATTCATAATTCATAGAAGACTAGTATAATTTATGTCTTATATGCTTCCTAACAGAGATGGAACCGGTCCACTTTTTTTCAGACCGGTACCGGTGTGGGTCTAGAGAAAGGTAGACCGGACCGGACCGGCCGGTATACCGGACCGGCCGGTCTACCGGTCCGTACCGGTCTACCGGTCCATACCGGTCTACCGGTCCGTACCGGTCTACCGGTCCATACCGGTCTACCGGTCCATACCGGTCTAC